TTCCGGGGAATACCCGCGAGCCGAACACCACCGAGCAGCGACCGAATCCGACTTGCGCCGCTCTGCGCTCTATGCTCAAGGCATCGGGGGGTTGGAAACACAGAGAACCTTGACCTTAGTTAAAAAAAAAAGTCGTTGACGCCTGTTCCCCTTCAATCCTCTCATCCGGCCGGCTTGACCCGCCCAAGGGTCAAATCATCATGCGGGTTCTCTGAATTCAAGTTCTCTCTCTCACGCCACTATTACATGCGAACCTTTCTCCAAATTCCCTCTCACGTGTCTTGAAGCTGGCGAGAAAAGACACAAATAAACCAGTAAACTTATCATCCAAACAAACATGACTAAGAACCAAAAGGTCGTCGTGGTCGGCGCCGGCCCCGTCGGCTCTTTGGCTGCGCTCTATGCAGCACAGCGCGGGTACGAGGTTGAGATCTACGAGTTGAGAGCCGGTAAGTTTGCTTGTCGCTTTTCTTTTTCCGTTTGGCAAAGTCTCTTGTTCCCGCCCGGCTCAGCGCGCCGTTGAAGATCATGGATCCTGCCCCTCGTCTGCCCCACCAATTGCCGCATTCAATAGTCTTGTTTGCCATGATGTGATGTCCCGTTGGTGGATGCGATGCAGATATGGTCGTGTTTGTTTGCTTCTCTCTCTGCCTTATCTGGGGATCCTGATCTCGGCAACTCTGTGGATTGACGCCATTATCAATCGCCAGCAACAACATAACAACACAACTGTCTACTACTAGTTGATATGAGTTTGAATACAGACTAACAGTCACAACCATGTAGACCTCAGAGACCCCACAACAACTCTCTTAAACTTCACCCGTTCCATCAACTTGGCGCTTTCCGAGCGCGGTATCAACGCCATGCGTAATGCTGGCCAACCAAAGTTACTGGAACATGTCTTTGGCGCCACCATTCCTATGCGGGGACGCATGATCCACGGCAGGACCCCGAAAGGGGATCTGTACGAGGCTTCGCAGGATTATGATGTCCACGGGAGAGTGAGTCAACTGAGCCCGGTCTTATCCCGGATGCCAGCCATATCAACCTGATGCTGATCGTTATGCAAGGCCATCTATGCTGTGGACCGCGCCGGTTTGAACAAGCGCATGCTCGACATCCTCGAAGAGATGCCGAACGTCAAGTTCTTCTTCAGCCACAAGCTCACTGGCGCAGACTTCAAGAAGTGCAAGGCTTGGTTCGAGGACATGACGTCCGGGTCGGCTACCGGCCGCGCCAAAGAGATTGAAATTGACTTCGACTTTATGATTGGCGCCGATGGCGCGCACTCCGCCGTCAGATATCACCTGATGAAGTTTGCTCAGATGAACTACAAGCAAGAATACATCGACACCCTCTGGTGCGAGTTCCAGATCAAGCCTGCCAAAGCTTCCTCGCCGGACAGCAAGCCGCAATTCAGAATCTCACCAAACCATCTGCATATCTGGCCTGGCAAGGAGTTTATGTTCATCGCTATACCCAGTGATGTGAGTATCTCTCGAACATGCTTATGTACACCCGACTGACAAGATACCAGGACGGCTCCTTTACCTGCACGCTATTCCTCCCTAACAACCAAACAGAGGCTCTTGAACAAGACCCGTCAAGTCTACCAGCCTTCTTCGACAAGCACTTCCCGGGTGTAACAGACCTAATTCCAGCCGAAGACCTCATCGAGTCCTTCAAGCGGAACCCCCACCTGCCCCTGATCAGCATCAAGTGCAGCCCCCACCACTACGACGCCTCCGCCGTCCTCGTCGGCGACGCCGCGCACGCAATGGTCCCCTTCTACGGTCAGGGCATGAACGCGGGCCTGGAAGACGTCCGCATCCTCTTCTCCATCCTCGACAAGCACCGCCGGCTGGCGGAAGCCCAAGCCAACGACCCGTCAGGAAGCCAAACAGACGCCGCGGACACCTACGCGGCCGTCGCCTACCACCGCGGCGCGGCGCTGGCCGAGTACACGGCGAACCGCGTGCCCGACGCGCACTCCATCAACGACCTGGCGCTGCAGAACTACGTCGAGATGCGCGCCTCGGTGCTCTCGCCGCGCTACCGCCTGCGCAAGTGGCTGGAGGAGAAAATGTCGGTGTACGCTCCTGGGCTGGGATGGCAGACCAAGTACTCGCGTGTCAGCTTCGGCAACGAGCGATACTCTGAGGTCGTGGCCAAGAGCGACCACCAGGGCCAGGTGCTGATGAAGACTTTTGAGGCGCTGGTGTGCAGTCCGCTCGTTGTCGGGGCCGTGTTCTTGTGGTGGAAGAGGCCGCGGGTTGTTGTTGGTGCTGTGCAGGGGGTTTTGCGGTATTTGCTGCGGGCGACGGAGGCGTGAGGTGTGATGTGACGTGATGACTCCCTACTTGGAGGGTTGAATTTCTATAGACTGTACCATCAACGTGAAGACTTCAAATACAATATACCCGCCGAATGGCTGAACCGCTCTTAATAGGAGAATCTGGCAAATCACAACTTATCAGTGACCTAGCTTGATGGTGATTTACCTTCTCTCGTCATACTCTGAGGAGGGTCAACAATGTGAGAGTGAATTTTGGCTCCAGGGTTTGCCATGTTGCGAGACTTGGAAACTAAACGCAATCACTGATACAGCACACTTTCAAAATTACAATCTTTGACTGTCCTGGAGGCTTCCTGCTCTCCTCTCAATGAATCACTTTGTGCTTGGGTAACCAAGGATAAAATATATCATTATTCAGAACCACTAGGGCTTGATCTGGCAAACATCAAGACGACATCAAATCGCGTTTACAGTCTCCGATGAACATGAAGCCTTTAGCTTGACACAAATCCAGCTCAACTTTCTTTCCCCAATTCCAGAAACAGGGGCTTCATCAGTTAAATCTAGAGGCCCTACCCATGTTTGAATTTACAATACTCTTCCAGAGTCCAGGATCTAACCGCCAACTATGGAGTAACTACGTACATGTTTGAACTCGCCGGTGATACTAATCAGTATTCAACTCCATCCAGCCCCTTGTACAACTGCCACCTGTACTCCTCAGACGGCACATTAAATCTCGCCTTCAGATCCATCTTGGCAATCTTGTCCATGTCCTCCCCGTCCAGCAGGAAATCCGACTCGAGGTTCTCCTTAATCTGCCACTCGATGACGCTCTTGGGGATCACGGACCGTCCGCTGTTGACGCCCCACGCGAGGGCGACCTGCACGGGGGTCTTGCCGTGCTTCTTTGCGATCTCAGCGAGCGTCGGGTGGTCGATGACGCGGGCCATGTGCGAGGCCTCCTTGGACCACGAGACCTCCCGGTAGAACGAGTTTTGGTTGCCGAGGGGCGAGAAGTGCGTCATGTGGATGCCGTTTGCGCGTTGCCAGTCGACGAAGGACTTTTGTTGGAGGTAGGGGTGGAGTTCCATCTGGTGGACGGCGGGAACCTGGGTTTCGTTGTAGTCAGCTCACACTCTTATGCCCCTATTCTCATCCTCTTCTCTTCTTCTCTTGAGACTGAGTAAAACGTACCACTGATCCCTTGTCAATAAGTGTCTGCACCTCGTCTTTGCTAAAGTTGCTGACGCCAATGGCTTTGGTCTTGCCCGTCTTGAGCAGCGCCTCCATCGCCTTCCAGGTCTCGACAAACGTCGTCCTGCCCATAATCATCTTGCCATCCGCGCCCTTGGGGAAGCGGTCCTCGCCCCGCTGGAACGTACAAGGGTAGTGCATCAGGAACAGGTCCACGTAGGGGGTGTCGAGGTCCTTGAGGGAGGCGTCGAGGGCGGCCTCGACGTCGTCTGGGTGGTGCGAGTTGCACCACAGCTTGGTGCCCAGGAAGATTTCCTCGCGGGGGACGCCGCTGGCTTTGATGCCCTTGCCGACTTGGATTTCAGTGTCGTAACTGTGGGACACAGAAACTTAGCTTCAATTTTGTCTGGTTGGTGATCAAGCTAGGATGGACGGGGATACTTACACTCTCGCGGTATCAATGTGACGGAATCCGACTTTCAGCGCCGTCTTCACGGCTTCCTCCTGCGCATCGGCGTCTTGGAACGTTCCGAAGCCAATGGCGGGAATCTTTGCGCCCGTGTTGAGCTCCCATTGCACCGAGCGAGTTGTGACGCTCCTGACTTGCTGCTTGGGCAGCGCGGCCTGCACCGCCGGCAAGAGACGAGATCTAAGCAAGTTGGCGTTCATTTTGTGGTTTTTGATCTCCTTGTCTCTGGGGTATCTAGGTATGAGAATGACAAGAGAGTAACGGGTTTAGTTGATTGAAAGAAAGCAAGCAAATCCCCACGTCGACTTCTTAATACATATCCAGAGACCCTGACCGCAGATGGTGAGCAGGGGTAGCTCTTTTAGCTCAGGGATCCAAAAGTCGAGCTAGCAATTGTCACCAGCTCAAGAATTGATTCGTGTCTATGAACTTGGCATTTCGGCCGACTCGAGGGTCCCTTCTGACACGGAAGCATACCGAGAACTAGCGCAATTAGGTTATTGTACGCGCGACTCGCTGTCCCGAGACCAGAAAAAGAAAGCCTCTCTTACAGCCGGAGGGATGTCCATCGCGACTGGGCGCTCGATGGTGGAGATTCCCCCGCATCCCGCATCCTAGGCTCCTCGTCTCGAGGGCAATAGCTCCAGATTTCCCCGCGATTGTGGAGAATACAAATTGAACGAGATTGGGGATGAGACGATTCTCAGTCGTCTCGAGGGATGACAATGACTGAACTGTGACTGTAGCTGAACAGAAACCTCAGACTTCGCTGCAACGTGACGAATGCCATGGTACACACCTGCACGGGGAATTGGCAGATGTGGAACTTGGCAGAGCGTGTTCGGAGATGCGGGAAACCATGTATGATGTAGCTTTTAGCTTTTAAAGCAGATGAACCCATGGGGTTTGATATGTCACTGTTGAATTTGCGTGTAGCATCGACCGAGACAGATACCAACAAAAGTCAACTCGCGCCCTCCTTGTTGTATTATTCCAAGAGTTCAACTTGAAGCCGATAACTTTGAAGCATTCACCATGGCACCTTCAGCAGTCGAGACGGGAGCAGCAGCCGTTAACCCCAAGGCCGTCAACGTCCAACCCATCTTGACACTCTCCGGAAAAGTTATCGCAGGTAAGCCATCATCATCAAGCCTCCTTTGCAACAACAAAAGATCGACTTGGCCATTTTACTCATAACCACCCTCCCTAGTAACCGGCGCAAACCGCGGCATCGGCCTCGGCGTCGCAGAATGCTGCCTCCTCAACAACGCAGCAAAGGTCTACTCCATCGACCTCGCGGAGCCCGGTGACGAGTTCGCCGCGGCGTCGAAGCAGTTCCCCGGCCGCCTCTTCTCGATCTCAGCAAACGTCACCGACGAGGCGAGCATCACCGCCGCCATTGACAAGATTGTCGAGGAGGCCGGCGCGATCCACGGTGTCGTCTGCAACGCTGGCCGGACGAACCACAAGGCCGCGCTTGATTTCACAAAGGAGGAGATTGAGTCGTTGTTTGGTGTCAACGTATGTTTGAGGAGGTACATTTATGAAAGGAATGGGATGTGTGTGCTGACGATGGAATGATTAGTTGTTTGGTGCCTTTTACACCGCCAGAGCGGCGGCAAGAGCTTTCATCAAGCTGAACATCAAGGGCTCAGTGGTGTTTACGGCCTCCATGGCTTCTTACCGCCCCAACAAGGTATGCTACAACTCTTGATTCCGTTGAAGCAGAAGCAAACGAGCACACACTGACTGACTTACGCGCAGCGCGTCCCATCGGCACCATACGGCGCCTCGAAGGCTGGCGTCCGCAATATGGCGCACACGCTCGCCATGGAGTGGGCAAAGTACGGCATCCGCGTTAACAGCGTCTCGCCCGGTCTCGTCAACACGGCCATGACCTACTGGGTGCCGCAGCAGCCGGACTGGGAGCAGCAACTCAAGTACTACGGCGGTATGCCACGTTTGGCCGAGGTCCAGGAGCTCGGTGGCGCATACGTTTACCTTTTGAGCGACGCTGCGAGCTATACGACGTCGATTGATATCCCCGTAAACGGTGTCATTGGAAGTAAGTTGAGACCCCGGGATTATGCTTTGGAGAAGGGGAAAATTTGCTGACAATGATACTAGTCTGCTAAATGAATGTGATGATGAATGGCCATGATGTCGAAGGAAAGCATATAAAGAAAGTCATTGCAAATTGTGCTACTGTAACCACTTAGCATTTTAAGAATAGAAGATATTATGAGCTTTGATCAGTCAGTGCTGTATGGGATCTTGATTGAGCCTGGCAATCTTTTGTGTTGTACTTGGAGAATCTTCAATTTACCCCTTTGCTTGAATGCCATAAAAGGGACCAGATTTAGTATTGCGTCAATGGCCCTGAACAGCATGCCTTTTACATGATTGCGGCTCAACATGTTCGATAGCCAGGCTGAGTAATTATCCATACTCAACTTCCTTTCCGAGCCCCGTGCTGCCCAAGATGTGTCCAAGCTGTAGAGACCTCGGGGGGTAAGAAATACGTTGTGGTCTCAGACCGTCTCCAAGCGTCACGGACCCAAGCCCTATGAGACCTTGAAGATGGCTGCGAGGATGAGCACGGATTCTTGTCGATCTGGGCGTGGGGGTTTGTCATCCCTCGCGTGAGTCGCGTCGGGAGTCGGGTCGGGTGAGCGCATATTGTCATTGTTGCTGGACCCATCTCAATGCGACTGTATCGTTCAGACTAAGAGAGCCTCATCTTAATTGGTCATCAAATCCATAGTCAACGCCCATAGAAAGCACGCGGATCTTTCATGGATTTGAATATTGTAGAGCCGCAATGAGCGTATCAGAAACCATTCCCATCAGTGTTCCATTTTGTGCTTGGCTATCTTACTCGAGGTGGGTGTTCGTTTAGCTCTACGTCAGAGGCAGCGGATATTACGTGATGATGCTCTTCTTAACATTCTTCAATATCGAAAACGAAGCTGTCAGTTCTCGACGCTCTGTCAAATTTTCTCTCTTTTTCTTTTTGTGATTGTCATTGAGGAAGATTTGCATTTCCAACACTACACAAAACTCGCACATCACCTCCATCATAAGAAACTTTGATTTCTTTGCTGGGGTTTGGTGTGAAGAACAACCGCGCGCGAGACTCCATACTTGGGCTATGGAATCACCGGGGAAGCCCACATATTTCCTGAGGCAAAAGTTTATGAACTTCACGCGGAGCTGGAGGACTCCGGAGCCCCAATGACGAGGGCGGATTTTCTCCTAAAGACCCGTTAAACCCCCCGGAGAATAATAACTCAAACCATTAAGCCCGACCCAGAGATTTAGCAGGGAAGCAATCTGCATCCGCGCCACGCTCCGAATCGACAAGAGATCCTTCACTCTATTTCGACAGCGGCCCACTTCTTCTCCTAGAGCCGAGAACCTAATTTCATCTCTTTAGGACTCGGGACCAGGGCTCTCTCGTTTTCCTGTTCGTCCAAACTATGCGCAAGAAGTCCGACAAAACATACCAGAAGCATATCCACAATGGCGGAGTTTCCGTTACATTGGGTCAGAAAACGCGCATGAATCAAGCCAGTGCCAAAGAAGAAACATAACCGACAGGCGCATGCAAGCGAACAATGTCGTCGATATTCGCACCCGCTGGACATGGAGTCTTGGTCCGAGCCAAGACCTCGGAGGACCGGATCCGGCTGCGATCAACCTGCTTTCTCGGGCAGGTCTCTTGACAGGTCTCGGCGTGCGCAATCTTGGCTATCTGTGAGGAATTCTGGTTTCCTATAATAGAGACTCTCCCCTTAGCACAGTACTCCTCCCGTCTCCTAGATAGGATCGTCCTTAGCAGACCGCCTCGCGGAGAACTCTGTCGCTATGAGCTGACTCCTCTTAAAGTAGAGGCTGATGCGCCGGTGATCCGACGATGATGGATAGGGTATCCATGAGAGGGTCAAAAGTATCGCCAAAACCATCCCGTTTAGGCAACTCGAGACCTTCTCGTGAGGCTCGGTTACCCTTGGGACCCAGAACACCCACAATTAGTCAGGATGACTGACGATGGCCCCCCACGGAGAAGGGGTGCCTCAGCCAAGGAATCCAGAAAGTTGGGATCCGTCGAATTGATTAGATTAGATCGTGTCCAACCAGTAGGAGAGCATGTCTCGTCTCACCTCGACTCGTGCATCAAGGGAGGCCCTGGTTCCCAACTTGGCGGTTGACTCGGATCAAGACCCAACATGTTTGTTTTCTCAAGACATGAGATGAACCAGTACCGTTTGGTTTCTGAAGCCCATGCGGCCCAACCCTGAGACCGCCGGGTACAAAATGCCCCGACAAGGTCAGCGGTGTAAGTAGGATGGAGATCATCGTGATCAGGGGGAGGGGTGTTTGCTGGCGGAAACCGAGCGGAAGGGCACACATATAAGTTCTCTGAGATCGCCATGCTTTTTTAAGGAGAATTTCTATGCTGCTTGGCAGGAATCGTCACTCACTTCCATCCATTCACTCTTTTATCACGTTCATTACACACCGCACGAAATGAAGTCCTTCCTCATCGCCACGCAGCTCCTGGCTGTAGCCATGGCCGGCGAGCCCTGGGTCAACGAGGTCGACACCGGCTTCGAGACCTACCTCGACAGCACAAACTACACCAAGGGATCCCTCCCCCTCCTCAAGGACATCCGCGCCATCCCCGACTTCGATTGGGCGGCCCGCCAGCACCTCGACAACCAAAAGTACTCCTTCTACCGCACCGGCACCGCCGGCGAGTACAGCTACCGCCACAACCTCGATGTCTGGCAAAAGGTGCAGCTCCGCTCCAAGCACCTGAGCGACGTCACCAAGCTCAACGAGACCATGGCCACCACCATCCTCGGCTACAACTTCAGCGCCCCGCTCTTCATCGCACCCGCCGCCCGCGCCGTCTACGGAGACCCGGACGCCGAGCTGAACCTCGTCCGCGCCGCCGGGAACGAGAATATCCTGTACATCCCGTCCATGTACGCCTCCAAGTCCATCGAGGAGATCGCCACCGGCAAGGTGAACGGTACCCTCAACGGACCCCAGGTCATCTTCCAGCAGATTTACACCAACGCCAACCTCTCCGTTACGTGGGAGAACATCCGCCGTGCCGAACGCACCGGTGCCAAGGCCATTGTCTGGACTATTGACGCTCCCGGTGACTCCGTTCGTCACCGTGCTGCCCGCTACGACACCACCAACGCCAACTCCGTCTCCTCTGCTCTGACCTGGGACATCTACGACCAGATGAAGAACCAGACCTCCCTGCCCATTATCCTGAAGGGCATCACCACCGCCGAGGAGGCCCTCCTTGCTATTGAGAAGGGCGCCAAGGCTATCTACATTTCTAACCACGGCGGCCGGCAGCTTGATCACACCCCCGGCCCTCTCGAGATCGCCTACGAGATCTACCGCAACGCCCCCGAAGTCTTCCAGAAGGTCGATGTCATTGCCGACAGCGGTGTCCGCTACGGTAACGACGTTTTGAAGCTTCTTGCCCTCGGCGTCAAGGCGGTCGGTATGGGACGTCCCTTCATGTACGCCAACTGCTACGGTCTCCCGGGTGTCACCAAGGCCATCAACATCATGAAGACTGAGATTGTCCGTGATGGAGCCCAGATGGGTGCGACTGATGTTCACAACATCAGCACCAGCTTCGTAAGTCAAGTGAAGTCAAATCGGGAAGAATTAGGATTGACTAGTTGCAGCTCAACCTCCGCCAGCTCGAGCAGAATGTCTACCTCTTCGACCAGCAGTAAAGACTGTGCGCGTAGCGTATTATAAAGTTGGGGATGTCAGGCTGGAACATGTATTGCATGTAGCGTTGCTGCGGATAGAAACGGCGTTCTCATTGGGATTGGGACCAAACACTTCATTGATGTTTCGACCTGTTTTAGGGGTCAACTTTCATGTCCATACTTTTACACAGTTACATAGCACGAAAAGCGTCATGATTATGTCTCGTCAAAGTTTCTAACGACTGGTTCCATTCAAATTGCAGGTGAATCAAGATGAGTGAATGGTTGCGGCATGATATTTGGCACATTGGCAAAATTAAGGGGCCCATCAATGTCAAACGTTGGCGGCCGAACTGCATTGAGCCCCGTGACAACGGCCCCGCGCCGGGAGTCGGCCCCACCTCTTGCTGCTCGGATATCCCGCTCAGTTCTCTTTTATCATGTTGAGGGAAAGTGGCCGTTTCGTCCCCATTCCTGTTCGAATCTAGAGTCAAGAGGTTGTACCTATGTCGGGAAGCTACCCTTCTCGGGCCCAAAGTACCCTCTCTCGGGAATGGGGAGAATTCCAATCTGAGATCCATCTACTCCTGCACCGCTCACCGTATTCCCCCACCATTTGAAGGCGATTGGGTTATACCCAACGGCGAAGAACATGACCAGCGCTGAAACGGCAACTCCGGCAGTCAAGGCAGCTGACAGGACGTAGTTGTACTTCTCCCACCAGGCCAGACGATGCCTAGGAAGCCAGTACATGAAGATGTATCCGAGAATGAAGCCAGGTGTTTTGTACGATAAGTTTGACGGTGCCCAATGTTGGATGCCCTGAATGACAAGGACCGGGTTCAGCCACAGCAAGGAGGCCACAAAGGGGAAGAGAGTCTTGTCCAGACGAGCAAATGTCTTTGGGCTCAGCTTGAGTCGTAGCTTTTCTCTGACGCCTGGGAGATACTTGGGACCGTAGCCTTGACCGACCAGGAAAACAATGGCAATGAGCGTTCCAAAGAGGAAGCACCCTATTCAACGGTCAGTACATATAATCCAACATCATCACTGTGCTCCTGCAAACTTGAACTCACATTTGAGGATCGGATAGAAAGACACAAACATGCGCTCTGAGCCAAGAAGACCCCACATCAAGCTGTTCGTGTAGAGAGGAGCACCATCGTTGGCGCACGTGAATCGACTAGGCTGCGTCGGGGTACACAGCCCTTTGACATTCTCCAAGATGAAGTTCTGCGTAGCTACAGCTACGAAGCAAGTAATGATGATCGTCCCAATCTGGCTCCGGAACACCGCGCGGGGTGCAATCTTGGCATAATGCGCCATCTTCTGATCTTGGACGTAATTGTCGCCATAGCCCGCGAGCGCCCAAGACCCCAGAGTCTGGGAGAAGAGGAAGGCGTTGGTGTTGCCGGGGAGGAGGTAGCCCGTGATGACCTGGATGAGAGCGCCGAGGCCGAGGTTGGTGCCCGTCGTGGCGGAGAGGAAGGAGAGGGGCACGGCGAAGACGAGATTGATGGCGATCATGAGGAAGACGATCCAGACGGGGGTGCCGAGCGGGTAGATGTTGAGGAAGATGACGGAGACGACGATGGCGGCGACGAGGATGATGAGGAACCACCAGTCTGGGACTTCGGGGTACTTTGCGAGGAGTCGGCTGTGGATGTCCATTGCGCCTTCGTAGTTGCCCTTTCCGTGGCGGAGGCCTTTGTAGAAGTCGATGTATGCTTGGGAGATTGTCTTCCATTGGTTTCTGTAATCCATGTTAGTTCTTGAGTATAGCGGCGAGCATGTTGTAGTACGAACCCCATGATGTACAAAAAGTAAATTGGATAGAAGCAGTAGTTGGCTCCGACGGTGAGGAGATAGCCAGCTGAGTAGAACGGAGGAGAGTATTCTTGATAAGCAGTCTCGTTGAGTTGGTTGTTGAAGACCACATTCTGGACCACATACGGCGTGCCGTCATTGGCGAACGCAGATGAGGAGTTGATTGGGAGGTATGCCGTGTTGTACATGTTGGTGTAGTAGATACCAATGATGATGACCCCGCCCAGGATGGCACCGATGTACATTGTACACGTCGCGAAGAATGGCTGTGCCAAAGCAGCATACGAGGAGGTCGCCACGTTCCAGTCAAACGTGGTGATGGGGTTGAATAAGCCAAGGCCCAGCGAGGATCCTGTGATGATTGCTAGGGTCACGTTCTGGGGCGAGATCCAGGTCATCCAGTTGAACGTCGCCAAAGCCGTGAAGATGTAGCCTGGGAACCAGTAGTAGAAGAACATGCAGATGGTCACGACGTAGAAGAACTTGTACCGCGAGATTGTCCACCCGTTGATGTTCTCTCTCGGCTCCGGCCTGGTGAGTGCTCTGTTCATGGCGATTGTCGGCAGGATCGTCGGCCAGAGAGCCTTAACGGGGTACACACTGAACCGTCGTAGGTATCCGGCGAATCCCATACCCATGAGTTGCACAAAGAGGGTGAGCATCAGCTGGTACCCAAAGTTGACGAAGTCGAGACCGTAGTAGACTGGTGACTTCTGCACCAGGATCATGCCGTAACTATTGGTGGTGTAGATGGCAATGTTATACGTGATGGTAGCAAACATTTGCTCCTTGAAATTCCACGGTCCTGGATTCAGAGAGTGCCGCGTACCGCGGACGGTGATGCCCCAGTCAGGTAAAACAAATTCGAGGACCTTGGCGCATGGGAAGAGCAGGATCTGGATAACCTGACCACTTAAGCCTACACAAACTCGGCTTTAGTAAAAGATTTCGAGGAAGACATATGAGATTTGATACTCACTGATGGCGGGGAACCTTGAGTTGAAGAATGTCGAGATAAAAGTTCCGATGATTGCCCAGCCTATACCCAGGAAGTATGCGCGAAACGTCTCAATGGGCACACTCTGGTCGTCCAAAATCTCGGCCACGGCGCGAACCCCAGGGTAGGGTGAGGAGAAGCGGATCATGACGGCGTCAATTCTCAAGTCCCGATCGTAGTGTTCCCCGTACTGTTTTGGTCCCTCGAGCAGCTTCTTCATTCTTTCTCTCATATCGGAGGGGAAGTTCCAGTCGTCCTTGAAGAACTCGACTGACTCTTCAATGATTTCGAGGGCATCTTCCTCCGTCATCTCATTGATCTTCTCCAAGATGTACTCTCCTTCTCCATTGGGTGCCAGCTCCTCAAGCTTCTCGTGGGATACCTGGTCCGAGATCTTTTGCTCCGGGTTGTCCACCCGTGCGGGGATCTTCTCGATATCCTCCTCCCGGGCCGGGGTCGGCTCCTCTCCGACGGTCTCCACCTTTCCGGACATTGTTACCCGAGGAATCGACGCCGTGTGCTGCCGGGTCCGTTGGAAGACTTACTTGTCGAAAGACGAAGAAGACGCTTGGAAACAAGTAACCATCTCTCATGATTTTCTCCGGGGAAGTTACCGAGGCTATATACTTCTGCAATTATCGTCCAACTTAGAGTTGTGTGGCGGGCGGAAGGCGGGGGAGTCGGGTCTCGGCCCAGCTATCGGGCGAGAAGATAGGTTCGTCCACCATGGGGGAAACATATCTCCAAACGGAACGAGGTGCGCGCAGCTAGGTATCTCCTCGCCCCAGCCGGGCTGCACTGCATTGTCCATCCAACAACGTTGCATTCTCCCAGATCAACGTTGCGCTATCACGCCGTCTAACAGAAGGGGGTCGATCGTCCCATTGCCAGACTTATCCGGTATCACCCCCGCATGCTCTCCCGGCTCGGAGCTCCCCTCTCTCCAAAACAACCCGACCTGCCAGACGTGGCCTGCGGGGTGCATGCGTTCGCGAGGATCAGCGCCCCTGTACTTGCGCTATCGACCGGTGTCTGAACCAACGGCAGTTGGTCATTCGCCGCGGTAGGATGCGACGCCAGACGATAAAAAGAGCCAAGATAGAGAGGGGTTGGAGCGGCGGATAGTTGCGGGATTGACAGCGACCCTTGGGGTTTGAGAGCTTGCGGACAAGTTCCGATATCTTGCGTTTTGATGAAAGATGCGAGTCCCTTTGCTGATGAAATGGGAAGAAACGTCGTTCGTTAACGGGATAGTGCTGGTGCATCTCACCAATCGGCATCGATCAAAGTCGAATGTGCGAAATTCTATCCAATTTGGAAATTCTGACTGGCCACATGGGGTAGTTCATCACATCTTTCCAGGGTAGCACAGGAACGGCATGTCACCTGACGAGATCCGATGGGTAAAGCACAATCAGACCGAGTGCGTGACAGAATGGCAAAAGTGTTTGTTTCGCAGACTTGGCTTGGCACTAGCATTCAATATCAACACTCATGCATGTAGCAGCTAACCCGCGTTTGGTGGACTTTCACATAGCAAAAGTGTGCCACGATGCACGCCACAGGCGTCGTTCCCGATGCGTCTCCCATTTTGAGGTGACTGACCGCGATGCAGCCACAGCAGCTCAGACCAAAGCACCGTGCCAGATCCCGTCAAAGATCTCAGATCTCAAGAAGCGCACCCTTGACCGACTTGCTCAACTGTGCTCTCCAGAGACGATGCTCGTTGAGTATGAAGAGCTCGCCCCCGCGTCCGAAGCAAAAGTTGGCGGCGCCACCGTCGACGAGAATACGACCGAGTAGGACACCGCCTGGGGACCAAACGTTCACGCCATCCCCGCATCCGCTGTAGACATTTCCGTTCGTATCGCACTTGATTCCGTCTGGTATACCGACGTCGGCGAATGCGAATAGTCTCTTGTTCAGCAACACGGGTTGTCCGTGGCGATGTTCTACGTCAAAAGCGTATCTATGTTGTTAGTACACGAGCTGAGAGTGGCACCACTTTTGAAACAAATCTGAATCGAATAACTCACATTGTCGAAGCCCGGTTGCCGTCTATCGTACCATCACCGTGGACAAGATCCGTGTCTGTTACGTAGACAGTTCTTTCGTCAGGCGAGAAACATATTCCATTTGGCCTGCCGAAACCATCCGCCATAGCCCGGATAGAAGACGTCGCCGGATCAAAGCGGTAGACCTGGCTAGGCAGTGTCGTAGGAGGGCGATAACCTTGTTCATGGCCATATGGAGGATCAGTGAACCATATGCTTCCATCTTTGCTGACGACAACATCGTTCACAGAGTTGAAGGGCCGAGAATGGAAAGAAGTGATGACTGGCTCGGTCGCATACGGAGGTATCCTTGACATCTTGAACAGACCGCTGGGTTGTGTCATCGAGCCTTGGGCACAGAAGAGAATGTCATCACCGTAGTTGACGCCGCCATTGCCCATCGCGATTTCCGGACATGAGATCTCTCCATGTTTTACAATTTTCCCACCGGTGGGCAACGATATTTTGGAAATCTGGACTTTTCTAGAGCCATCTGTATCGGTGAACTGGTTGCTGGTGATAAACAGTTCATCGTTTGAGGGTATGAAGACGCCGGCTTCGTGAGCGAAGGGATAAGAGTCGATTTGCAACAAGAGATCCAGCGATGGGCTTGAACCAATAATTTCTCGAAATGATTCGTCACGAACTTGCCATGAATCGAGATTTTCTGTGTTGGATGACATTGTGAGCCGTGCGTTGTGATAGCAAGTAGTGCTCTATGCTGGAAAATGAATGAACGGGCTTACTTCACCAAGCTGAGGTTTGCCTCTGGACCAAGACTCGTATGCGAGCCTGCTTATTAAATGATCTGATTACTGAAAAGTTCAAGCTGAGGAGCTTCGGAACCCACAAGTCCACCTACTGAGTTCACCCCGCGAAACTAAGATCGCCCATTCCGCCTCCAGATCAGATCGTGCCGGGGGCCGGGGGTCCAAATTTCCCTCGAGACGACGGTGACCCCACAGCAAGCCAACAAAGCGCCTATGACAGACAACACCAAACACTTTTTTACACATCATCACCGTGTTCATTAGCCCATAGATATGGTTGAAATACGCAGCGACCTTTCAACGTCTGGCCCGGTCTGGATTGGAACTTTGGAATCGTTCCACAAGACAGACACATTAAGCGTAGTTCGAAGAACGCATCTATTGCAACTATGACTGTGCCGGCAAACTGGAAAGACGAGAACAGGACAATCCAGATCCTGACCAAAGCCGAAAAGGGCCGATACGGCGTGATTGCCGCCATCGCATATAACCTCGAGCAGATCCACGGCCTCGTCACCGCAGCCGAGGAAGCCCGCTCGCCTCTCATCATCCAATTCTTCCCATGGGCAGTCACCTACGCCGACGGTCTGCTGGTCCGCACCGCCAAAGAAGCTGTGTCCCGAGTATCCGTTCCAATTTCAATTCACCTCGACCACGCGCAAGAGGAGAAGATTATCCAGTATGCAGCCGACAACTTGCCGTTCGACAGCATCATGGTCGACATGTCTCATTACGAAAAGGCGGAGAACCTAGAAAAGACGGCGAAATGGGTTAAATACTGCCACGAACGCAAGATTGCAACCGAGGCCGAGCCCGGGAGGATAGAAGGTGCCGAAGACGGCGTCATGGACACGGCCGGGTTGGAAGCTAGCAAGACCACCGCCGAGGAAGTTGACGAGTTCATCGCTACGGGTGTGGATTCCCTTGCACCGGCGTTTGGCAACGTACACGGCGAGTACGGAAAGTTGGGCCCGCAATTGGACTTTGAACGGTACGTAATGTCCGGTCGGGGTGCAGGATATGACTTCTGGATAAGCCCTTCCCCGAACAAGGATACTGATAACGAGGTTTGCAGATTCGAACAGATACGCGCCCAGATTGCCGGCAGAGTAAGAGTGGCTCTGCACGGTACCAACGGATTTCCGCCTGATCTGATGAAGCAGTGCATTGCTGCGGGCGCGACAAAGATCAACGTCAACAGGCTTGTTTTGGACGATTATTATACACATCTCCGGTCGCAGGTCACGCGGTTGCCGCATACTACGCTTATCGAAGAGGGTACGAGCAATGTCGTCCGGCAGGCAAAGGAGTGGATGGAGATTTGTGGATCAGCGGGACAGGCATGAATGGAAGTAGGTTCTGGGTATTATTAGGCGTCGGAAGCTTCCCATCGAAGCTTCAACTCCTCCCCGAGTGGCTTCACAGGCCAGCCTGATCGAGCGTGGCAGGCTTCTAGCAGATTTAGAACGCATTTCCGTTCTCTACTATTCTCGAGGGGTATGCCGGCTTTGTTGGATCAGAGTTGTTTTCTGCAAGGGAAGGGACGACGTACCGATAAATAGACATTGAGAGCACAAAACACTCGATGGATAGTCTGACAGTGTCATGCCGATACCACAAACTTTCTTGACGCATTCCATCAGACGCTTCCTCTGCTGTGTGTACTGTTCAAGTCCACCTAGAACGGGTACATTCATTAGGAGCAGGATGTGGGAGCAGTAGTAGATTTGAAAAGCTACCGCTGTAAATGGTCAGTATGATCGCGCTTGCAGTTCTGGAGAAGACGGCTTACCAAATGCCGGAGGGTTGATCCAGATCGGCTCGAAGATGTCATCAGGAGAACTCGGGTAGGGGAGTGGTTGGAACTCAGCCGTCAGGTGCCGCCTCCAGTTTTCCAGCATTTCTCTCAAGGCATCAGCCGCCGCGATTCTCGCGTGAGGGTCATTCTTCCCCGCTTCGGTCTCTTCATACGAGCAGAACGCGATCACCTGAGCGAAGAAGTAGACTGACCGTGCAGCCAGCTCGGACGGGCCTAGATCGTCCAATGTCTTTAGTGGCCGCCAGAATGTAAAAGGACGGCGCCTCTCGCGAAAGGCAGCCCAGACATCCTGGCATATCCATGCCCACCAGACAGCTTGCTTCAAGCCCATGGAATCGCCATGTATGACTTGTGAGCGTTGGATCCAAAAGACTCCTTTCAGATGTCTTTCCCAATCTTGCCTCGAGCCGTCGAGCATCTCGTATGCTGATACAGTGATGCTGGTCGCGAGGAGTTCGAGGCTCGTTTTGTATGTGTCGTATTGCATCGCCTCTTGGATATAGTGTAGTGTCTTGTAATAATATCGTAGTGCGTCGTTGGGGTCTCTGGTTTGTGTGTCTTCTGAGTGTGTACTCAAAGAGAGGTGACGCGCAGACAGAGCGAGAACTGCATTGAGCAGCCCTACATTATGCATCTAACAGCGTTTGGTCAAAGCTCGTCAGCATGTTGCCTTTAACTTATACTTAGAACAGGCTACCGATCAAGAATCGTCGACGTACTGCAAGTTGAGGGACAAGTGTTCCAAACGGGCGTCTAGGTTCGAATAAATCCATCTAATGCCAACAAGGATTGTTACTCGAAGGATGTTCCGGGCAGCTACTTTCCAGCTTACCCATCTACTAATGTGTTGCACAAAATTTTGGAAAACAACATGTTCCTGCGCCTGAATTGGTAGAGGCGTAGCCGATCGCCAAGCCTGTTTCTCGAGGCATTGGTATTCATCGAGCGTCGGAGGTCTCTCATGCAAGTAGGGATGTGACGCGCATGGCGTAGGACTGAGGCCTTCTCCACTGGTGTTTGGTATACCCCGCCCCACAGCAGGTGATTGCACGACCGAACTTGCAAAGAGATCCACGCCTTCTTCGAAATTGACGTTGGTGAAATCGATTTCTTGCATGGCCGCATCTTGGAGAAGCAGGTCGACCCAAATGGCCGTGGCGTTCTCTAGGTTTGCCCCGAACGAGCTGGACGTGCGTGCTGTGCCTCGTGGTGTGATGCCTGTGCATAACGCGTCGACTTGCTCTGGAGAGTCTTGCTCGAAAGCTGGTCTATCGCCGGTACTGGCGTGATTAGACCTATCTATGCCCTCGTCATTGGACGGTGCTATTGTGGTAGCGCTTGCTATGCTTGATGTGTGTGGTTCTCCAAGCGTTACTGCCGGTAGAGGAGCTGGCTCGTCATCACAGACGACGGGCTGATACTCGGAGTTTGGTGGACTGGAAGACCGAGGCGATTGAGGCTCTCGAGGAGTCGTGGGCTTCGGAGCGTCGCTGTTGGGGGTGACTGATACGACAGGACCAGACCGTTTTCTGTTTGGTGGCCGCCTTGGTGTGTAAAGACAATTGTGTCTGGTTCTCTCACATCCACCGCATACAGGTTTTCTCTCGTCGCACTTGACATGACGGCGGCGACATGTTGCACTGCGAGAAGCAATTATCAGGTTTGAGACAGGTTACGAAGAGTTTTCTTCAGGTCTAGGGCAGGGATACTACTCACCAGCCGGTACTGTTTCTGAGGCCGCGGCCACGACTGAGGCGGCCACGGGTGAAGTATGGCTGTGAATCTTCGTCATCGGCGCTCATCTTGATGATACTTATGCCATTGAATCTGAAGAAGTAATATGTAGATACGGATGGGAAACGGATTTGATGTGTGGCTACTTTCACAGGATTCGGGGCAACAAGATGCAGAGTCGAGTCCTGTGGTGCTATTAGGAAGAGGAAGGTGGAAGCGACACTGGCACTTGGAGTTGCGAAGAGTCGCGACTGGTTGGAGAACTAACTGTACGTACTATGTGCGCACGGGGCAGACGCCCGTGCGGGGTAACCTGGAGCGCCCCGCTAAAAGGTTGGAGACGGCTCCGGCTCGGCGCACCCGGTGTGGAGCCGCCGGTCTCCGACTGGGTCCCGGTGGGATGGACAGTACTCTGGTGCTTTGCACGCTTGGGGAAGGGCTAGCATTTGGCGATTTTACGAGTGGGTTTATTTTGATTTTTTACCTTTATTTTTACTCTATGGTACAACGTGTTTTCGTAGAATGTGCCACATTGAGGTTCTGTACCGAAAGTCGGAAACTATATCTAAAAACTACTGCAAATGAACGTACATACCACCATCCACCAACATCTGGGATCCTGTCATGAACCCGCTTAATTCCTCGCAACCCAAGAAAACCGCCGGCCCAGCCAGATCATGAGGCTTGCCCACGCCCATTGGAATACGTTGCTCAAGATACTTGCGCTTCGTCTCATTCTGCATGTCTTCCTCCGCCAGTTGTGTATGGATAGTGCCAGGAAGCAGAGCGTTGCATCTGATGCGATGCTTTGCAAGAGCCACTGCCATTGACTGGATCATTGACAGGACCGCTGCCTTTGTCGGCGTGTAATGTGTCTGCAGACCTCCACCCTGCAGAGCGCTGATTGATGAGATGCCGATGATTGATCCTCCGCGTCCTTGCTTGACCATCTGGTTCGCCGCTGCCTGGCACGAGTAGAATGCGCCGTTGACATTAACGTGTAGTGTTTTATCGAAGACTTCCTTTTCGAGTCTATTTGCGAAGTGGTTAGCCTACCACCCAAGATTTTGTCGTAGCGTACCAAAAAAACATACGTGAGAAACTCAGCTGGCTTGAAAATGCCAGCGTTCGCGATGAAGACATCCAGTCCACCCCATTTCTTGACTGCTGCGGCAACGAGCCCCTTTCCAGTATTCGGGTCTGTCACATCGCCTGCAAGCTCAATCAACTCGCCCGTCGGGGAATCTTTGGGGGCATCTTTTCTGATCTTTTCCGCTTCTTCGATAAGGCTGAGTCTGTGTTTTTCGTCGCTAGGAATGCCAAGGTGGTTGACCGCGACGTTGGCGCCGTGTCTCAAATATTCGAGTGTTATCGCACGGCCAATGCCAGTTGTGCCTCCGGTGATGCAGGCTGTTTTGCCTTTCAGCAGCCGCCAGCTTGATGAAGCCATTTTGATTTGACGCGTGAATGTGACGAATTTCGACCTCAAACTTCAACAGCGTGACCAGCAGTTGATGGAAATGATTTTAGCTAAATCATGATTACAAGCCGGGATTCAACCCGCCGCGGTGCAATCTTGTTTACTTTGCTCGCTCTCTTCGCTTAGCCTCATCCTCCGCGCTTTGACTTGCTCCGGATCGGAATGTTCACATCTACACAGCTGTCTTACCCCGCACCCTCGTCTCGAGGGACTGAGGCTGCATGAAAGTGGACCTGACAGACTCATGTCAGGAACGGTACCACGTTATCAGGTCGAACCACGCCAGTGTTGTTCGGACGGGGCAAGTAACTTCGGGACTCAGTTGATATACTGTTGGTCATAAGTAAGGTGGCTTATCGAATAACTTGTTTTGGGTTGATTCGTTTGAGTCGCTTACCTTGCTTGAGTTGCCTTGGCACCTGCAGCAATCGAGAGAGAACCAAGATGAGAAATTCTAAGCTTATGCACCATAGTATGTATGGTCCGACGAACTAAGACTAATACATCCGAACTCTACATGGTATGCGCAGATTATCGTGGCAACAGGTTCATGGCATTAGGTAGGTGTCACGGGGACTGACGGATTGCTACACGTAGCTGTTCATTCTTGGAGGACCAAATGAGATGCCAGCCAAGGGCAAGAAGTAAGGGAGAGTTATGCAGTGTTTGCGATCAGCTCCCCGGAAAGCGTTCTCTATCCATTGTTAAGATAGTGTGAGATACAGATAGATTTGACATATTGATGCATATTGGCGCTAAAGTTATGTATCACAAATGCCCTCTTATCCTCCTATGACCTTCTGAGACTCCTGCAAGCCTATCCCGCACGTTATTTGTCCTCCTGCTGAGCGATCCGGGTGGGCACTATCTAAAGGATCCTGAACCACGGAGTACGACGCCTGAATCATTGAATCTCCGAGCCAGAGGATTTCTCAACATGGGTGCTGGAGTTCTCTCCCTTGCTCTCCAGATCGCCTCCGACAGCTGCTCGAACGGCACCAACACGACTTTCGTGCTCGGCTTTGAGCTCTTTGAACTTCTTCTCCGCATCCCACGTCCACGGTGAGTCTGCAGCGAAGAGGAAATCGATCTCCTCAAGGGTTCTTTGATTCGACTCTGGGTACAGAGCCCACACTGCAAACAGTTAGAAAGACGAAGCCAGACAATTGGGGTATGGGGCCTGTCAACTTACCGATTGGAATACTGATGACGTTGATGGCCGCGAAGATGTACATCGCGTTCTCATTGATGGCTCCAATGATGTACGGAAGAACAAGTGTCAAAGTACTGATTTGGTGCAGAGTTAGCAATAGGTTTTGAGCTACATTATTCCGAGACTTCGGTGCCTTACCCATTGCCGATACTCCATCCAACGACGCCCCAGGCGTTACCCTTGGCTCGGACCTGCAACGGGAAGATCTCCGCCGGGTACAACCAAGGTACAGTGAGCCAAGTCGCGCCAAACACGAACGTGCTTCGAAAGTGTCAGTGATTCACAGAGTATAAAAGATGTGTCGAGATCACTTACTAAAGAAAAACCATTGTAGCGGCTGCGGCTCCCCATGAGTTGGCAACGTCGTCATTTCCAATAGCTCTGGCATTGAGACCGCCGCGGGATAGGCCACCGACAAGGAACATGGCAATGCCCTGAGCGACCGAGCCCCAGTACAGCGTCCAGCGTCTTCCAATCCTGTCAATGGTGAACACACAGATGAGCGTGGCGAACATGTAAAAGATGTTGTTCAGACCAGAGATCCACAGAGCTTTGGATGGACCGAAGCCGGCGATGTGGAAGATGGCTACTCGCGACTCTGATTAGCAAAGGATTTTCTTACAACAAGAATGATTCGAGATGAGTCTATGACTTACTAGGGCCGTACATGGTGATGCCAGCAATACCGGTCCAGCACTGGATGATTTGCAGCCAAATGACCAGTTGTACTCTTCGGCCCGTGTGAAGTTTTCCACACTTGAGACCAAAGAGCATGTGGTGGTATTTGGTTCCCTCGGCCGACTGCTCAAGTCTGACCACGTCCTTGATGTCCGCAAGTTCCGCCTCGGCGATACCGTCGTGGGTGCCTCGGAGGCGCTGCAAGATATAGAGAGATTCGTCGTCTCGGCCGACCTTGCAAAGCCAGCGAGGCGATTCGGGGAATAGGAAGCACCCGAAGAGCAAGAAGAGCAGCGGAATAATCTGGAAGGCGATGGGGAAGCGCCATCGGAAAGCCGACTCGCCATTGTCGATGAAGCTCACAGCATATCTGTGACGATTAACTTGATTAGTCTCATGTCTCACATATTTCGATTTGCCAGTTGAATCTCACCCAAGCCAATAGGCAACGACAACGCCAAAGATGTTCAAAGTGAACTCCATGGCGATGAAGGCACCTCGGGAAGTATAGTCTGCGAGTTCTGATGCCCAGACAGGCACGATGCCGTTCAAGATGCCGGTACCGATGCCATTCAGAAGACGAGCGCAGATCATCCAGTTCGAGTTCATGGCCGTACACTGCAAAGATGCGCCGAAGATACCCCAAAGAGCACCAATGGCAATAGTCTTGATTCTGCCAAATCGGTCGCCGATAGATCCTCCGACCATACAGCCGATGAGGGTGCCGAGATAGAAGACGGACATAATGCCGCCTTGAAGGAGAGTGTCGGTCACGACTGGAGTGCCATCGGCGTCGACATATCCGAATTTCATAAGATCAATGTAGTGTTTGGCGTTGTTCACACCGCCCATCATTCCTTGATCATAACCTGAACATCAGGTTTGTCAGCATTTCCATCGCATCAGGCACGCACTTCCGACGTGTGGGCGAGCTGAAGCAGTCAGACGAACCAAAGAAGAAAATTGACATTCCGGCAAGGGCGTTGACGGCGATGAGAAGAGCTCTCTTCTCGAACTTCGCCGTCACCATCCACTTATGACGTTGGTCCATCGTAGCGGTTGTGAAACAAAATGATGCAAAGTTTGCCGTTGAGTCCTACTCTGAGTCGGATAGCAACATAGTTTATGTTACAAGTCAAAGATCCGAGTGTCTTCTTCTAGTTATACAAGATACTACTACTTCCACCAACTTCGGAACTCGTCCTAGTCGGCTCGGACTAATCTAATCGATCAAAAGTGACGTAGTCTGACCCAAGAACCGAACTACCTTGGACCAACGCGGGGAAACCCCATGGGGACGTCAAATGGGTTGGTATTACGCAGCAGATCATGCCATTCAATCTCTCAAACGTCCTAGCTCGGGACGACCGGTGGGAGGCCTAGCAGTGCCCATGTCTTCCCTCGAGACGAGCACTCGGTTGCTGGGCAGTGCTGCCATGGTTGTCGAGTCTCCGGAAGGAGGGTCATCGAGAGCGTGGAATTGCGTGGCCATAGTCTTGACCCGTATTCGTCTTGACATGGCCTGCTGTCAACAGATGGGGAGCTTTATGCTGAGCCACTCCAAGTCCGAAAGACCATTTGCTCTCACGAGACGATATCTTTTACATGGCTTCGATAATTGGGAGACATATCCGGTATATAAGACTGCCTTCAAGATGGTGAACCCAAGCGTGATTACAATCTGAACCAGACAGTCCGGCAGTCATTGACCTCCGTCACGAAAGCAGTCTCTCAACATGCCTCTCTATCAACCCGAGAACTTGTACGCTCCAATCCTTACGCAGTTCTCCCTCAAAGGGAAGATTGCGGTAGTGACTGGAGGCTCAAGGGGGATTGGTGCCGAAGTCGTTCGCGGGTTGGCAGAGGCTGGCGCAGACGTTGCATTCATCTACAAGACCAACACCGAAGCTGACGAAACAGCTGCTCGAATCGCGAAGGAGACGGGTGTTCGCGTCCAGGCATACAGATCCGATGTCACGTCCCGAGAGACCATTGCGAAAACCATCAACCAAATCGCCAGCGAGTTCGGCGGAGGCCGCATTGATGTAGCGGTGGCCAACGCGGGTGTCTGCGCAAATGTCAAGTCGCTCGAGTACACGGAACGGACATGGGAGGATATGAACAGCGTCAATTACGACGGCGTCATGTGGACTGCGCAGGCTGTGGGTAATATCTTCAAGAAGCAAGGGAGAGGAAACCTAGTCATCACCGCCTCCGTGAGCGCTATTTTGGTCAACGTGCCCCAGGAGCAAGCTGCGTATAATGCTTCCAAAGCGGCGGTCGTGCAGCTTGCCAAAAGTCTGTCCGTCGAATGGGCTAATTTTGCGCGCGTCAATTGTGTGTCGCCTGGATACATCCTCACCGAAAGTCAGTTGTGGTGTTTCTTCCCCAAAGTCCTATATTTGGCACCAAACCCACGTGCAGTGTTGCTTACCGTGTTCCTTGCAGTGTTGACAAAGCAGCCGAAAGAGCTGATGGAGCATTGGCTATCAATGATCCCAGGTGGCCGGGTTTGTCATCCTGCCGAGCTAAGAGGAGTGAGTGACCAACCCCCCTGGGCCCGCATTGCATGACACATGGACAGCCCTAACTAATGTTGCTCTGGATAGCTCTATGTCTTCCTTGCCAGTGATGCATGCTGTTACATGACAGGATCAAACGTTGTGATCGATGGCGGATACACATTGCCGTAGCCTATGACCAGGCTGGTGGAAGTCCGACAGACTGGATACGATCTGCATCATGACGGAGCCTGCAGATACCCGGGATAACCGCAGGGAATTCGATTCATGACCCCGATCTCGACGCTAAATCAAGAAAGCCATCGACAGCATCCCATGCTTCCTCGCCCAGGTTCAGTTTCCCGCGGAGTAGTTGATTAGACTATGAGAAATTCCCCGAAGAGGATGTATTATTCTCCTCTTCTCTTGCCTGCGAACTCCGTCGGGAGTTTTCTTCAATCGAGACAAGCTCAATTCTAGATGAAGCCCCCCCCCCCCCGCATCCACTGAATGTCGCTTACTGTGTTCAATGTTGGGTCGAATAGTCACTCACAAGTCCCCGCAAGTGGATCCTTCAAGTCCTAAGTCGGTCCTGGAATAGTATATGGCTCGAATGGCTTGATTTTGTCTCTGAAGTGTTATTCCGAGCTCTCGAGCTCCCAGGGTCCTGTATCCAGTCGATCAAAATGGTCTGTATATGCTACAATGAGGCAACCAGCACAGTGTCTTTGTTTCCGCTCTACACGAACAGCGGGCAGCAATGAGACGCCTCCTCTCTTGGACGGAGGAAACAAGGTCTTTCCACTCAAGTACCGCTATTTTCAGCACCTCTTGATGCCGCTTGGCTGGGGTAGCGGGGAAAACCAAACCCCTCTAGCCTGGAAAGTGGGAATGACCCAAGCCAAGTTTATTTCTCCCGTCGGATGGCCCGCTCATGGCCAAGCAAATTCCAAATTCTAGCGCGCGCGCGCCATCGTCGCTTATCTCTTTCTGATGCACTACGCTACGATGCTTCGTCACAACACAACATCCTTCTTCACATGCCTTAGTAAACTTTACGAAGCACCCTCGTCGTGAACCGCGATCGCGATGTTTCTAGAGTCAACGGAGAGTAAGAGGTGAAGGATCGCAACCCTTGGCGAGGTTCAACATCAATGTAGTGAATGGAGGGACAAAGAATTCAAGAGAAAATAATGATAAAGCAGACATGTTCACACAATGTTTGCGTTTCACTCACTATCAGCAACTGAACAACTCTCGCAAGCACACAAAGACAACGAAATACAATATCAACACGATGTCTTCGCTTAAAAACAACATGAAGAAAGCCATGACATCTGACCAGAGCAGTTCGGCACTAAACGACCTTGACAGAACGCAACCGGCAATGGAGCAGGAAGCTCATGGATTCTCTTTGGCTGAGCAGAAGAGAATCATGAGACGGGTTGACGTTCGTCTTGTTGCAACTGTCGGGTTGTTATACTGCTTCTCTGTGATTGACCGGTCGAACCTCCCATCTGCCGCCGTTGCCGGCATGAGAGAAGACTTAGACTTGACTGGCAACCGTTACGTGGGTTCAAATCTCTGGCAAACCCTGTTTTCTTTGATAAGATGCGCGATCTGAGATGACTGATAAGTGGACGTTGTAGTCGGTTGTTAGCTTGGTTTTCTTCACGACCTATATCACTTTCCAGCCGATCTCAGTCATTCTTGGCCGAACGTTGGGCCCCCGGGCCTACTTCACGGCTATCACAATGATTTGCGGTGGCATCGTAATTGGTATGGGCTTTCTGACGCACTGGGGACAGCTCGTGGCTTTGAGAGTGGTCCTTGGTGCTCTCGACTCTGGATTTTTCCCTAGCTGCGTTTACCTTTTGAGCACTTGGTACACCCGTTGTAAGTCCTTTCCTCTGAAGTGGCAGTTGGAACCGTTAGTTTTGTACTAATGAATTATACTAGACGAGGTTGGAAAACGTTACTCGGTGTTTTACATGATTGTCTGCTTTGCTTCTGCATTTGCGGGAATTTTGGCTTTCGGAGTAAGTGCATCTCAGAATGGAGCTTAGCAATCGTCTTTGAACATTTGCCTCTCAAACCTAACTGATGAAATAAGTTTCTGACCACACCCTCTCTGTAGCTCACCCAAGTTGATGGAACCGCAAACCTCAGGGGCTGGTCCTGGATCTTCATCATAGAAGGTGTCATAACCTGCGCTATTGGCATTGTCGGCTATTTTCTCCTCGTCGGGTTTCCGGATGCTAAAAAGAGCGCCTGGAACTTTCTTTCCCAGGAGGAAACTGCTTGGGTGATTTCGAGAGTTCAGGCCGATAGAGGAGATGCGGAATTGCCGTCTTTCAGTGTCAAGAAGTTCCTCAGAGGCGGGGCTGACATCAAAGTCTGGGCTTTGTCCATCATCTACTTCAACAACGCTCTCATCATATTTTGTAAGTGGTGCAAAAATACTTCTGAAACTGTTCGCTAATCATCTTATGTGAAGCGCTATCTTTCTTTCTGCCAATCATCCTCAAAGACAATATGGGCTTCAACACGGGAAAAGCTCAGATCTTGACGGCGCCACCGTACGTATTCGCCGCAATCATCACTTACACCACGGGCTGGCTAGGGGATCGATACATGCTTCGAGGTCCCATAATTGTTGGCGATATGGTCTTGTCAATTGTCGGGACCTGCCTGATGGGCTTCCACAGCGATGTTGCCGTTCGATACTTGGGCGTCTTTCTCATCACCGCAGGGAGTGTAAGCGCTGTGCCGGCGACCATGGCATATCAGGCGAACAATATCCGAGGACAGTGGAAGCGCGCATTTTGCAGTGCCATGGTAGTCGGTGTTAGCGGAATCGGTGGCATCGCCGGCTCTCTTGTTTTCAGGTACGTGTGTTGCAGGCCCTAGGCCACATTCCATGTGTGCGACCCAGCTGGGGTCCTCCCTGATATCAAATAAGCTCTTCTCTCCATAGGCGAGTGAGATATTGACCAAATAACAGAAGCCAAGACAAGCCTCATTACCTGCCTGGGTTGAGCACTTGTCTGGGATGCGCGGTTCTAAACGTCATAATTCTCATTGCTTTAAGCTTTTACTTCCGCTATTGGAACACGAAGGCCGAGCGCGGTGAGGTTGAGCTCGAAGCGTCGGATGTAAGTTGCCTCTCGATCCACCTGTCTACCTATATAGATCGAGCAAACTATGTATGAAAAGTCATTGCTAACTCGCCGATCACTCCAGGAAACCCAAGCATCGGACTTCCGCTACACCTACTAAGCGCCTATTGCAGAGGCTCCAACTTACATAAAGGATTGATGCAAACTCGTCAACTTGATTACGGCGTTGGCGGTAATTCTGTATTTGACACATGGGTTAGAAGCACTAATGTGGCGTTTGAGGCGTATATTTGGTAGATCACAGACACTGAAGAGCGCATAACCATACACAGTCGTTTCTTATCTTTCCCTTACTTGAGCCCGAGGGCTCTAAGCCCAGTACTGTGGGTTCGAACTCTATCTCTTCATCAAAAAGGCCTTCTCGTGCGGCTCTGCAATTCCAAACTCTGTGACAGGTGTTTTGACGCTATGAAGGAGCTCGAATCCTAGCTTTTCGTACATCGGTTGCGCAGTCTTGGTAGCCATTACCCAAACTTTTATCTCGACTATATCAGCCTGATCTAGGCCACTTTTCACTAAAGCAGAAGCAATCCCCTTCCGCCTGTGATCTGGGTGGACCGCAAGATAATCAAGAACTGCTATAGGTCAGCTGATATGAGCGTAGTCGTTGAGATGAGTTTTCCTACCCAGGAATGGGCCTTTATGTGATTGCATTGCGGCAATTTCAGCCTCCTCAAGAGGCAGTCCAAGAGCAGCTTGTAGCTTTCCATCCATACCCCTGATAGAACCGCCCTCGGTATTGGCCTGGAAGGCTGCCTTGAACTTATCAGCTTCATCTTGCCTGGGTTCCCGAACAACTGCTTCGGGCCAAGAAATGCGGTCATCATCATCTGGCAGGATCCACCGTGCGTAGCCCACGACTTCACCGCTATCATCATCAACGGCTTTCTGGTGTCTCTTCTTTTCCCTACCGCCGGCGAGGCTGTGAGGCATACGAGCTGTGGCACCCTCGATGATCTCATCCAAAGGCGTCGACTTCCAGAGCGCGCGCCAATGAGTATCGGTATGATAGAAGGCCGTCATGTTGTTCTTCGAAATTCCAGCAGCGTCATCGTAGGTGACGGCTGAGATAGTGAACGTCATGTTTGAGGAATGCAAGATTTGCGTAAGAATTCGAATTGCTTCGCTTAATGGTTCAAACCGGGACTGAGGAATTTTAAGTTGCACCTTATTCTGCAAATTATCGGGTGTTTACTGATTTATGTCATATTATGCCACTGTATACGTGCGTAACAGCTGCACTTTTGCAAAATGGATGCTGGTGGTGTAAATCTGTCCTTCTCAATGGGGACAAGGAGGTCGAGTAAGCTTACATGTGTCCTCACCTCTCGTCTAGGCAGCAGGGGACCAGGGGTCAGATAGGAGGAATACTGCGAGGGGATCTACTAGACTGGTGCTTTTGATCGTCCCGATCATCATGACCCATCGCAAACACCTGAGGGTGTTCTTCTATGTTGCAGTAGTCTTGGTGAGGCTATCTGGTCACCACATATTGGACCCGCAACCTTCATGCACTTTTAGAAGTCCGGAAAAATGGATGAATTGAAATATTTCTTCCGTCGTATCTTACTAGCGACTACAAGTGCATGAATCAATTTCTCCAGAAATCCTCCCAAGCCTCTTTGCAAAGAACATCTCGTGTCCGTTTCAGGAGCTCACCAAATTCTACCGGTTCTTTACCCTCCAAGAGAACTTTCCCATCTGCAACTCCTCTCCAGCCCTCGACAGGTAGTTTAAGAAACTCATGTCGTTTATCGCAAGTCGGCATGGCATCAAGTTGCTTCTCGGCTACCCCATCCGTGGCTCGCCTGTTGTAGCAATCTGTGCAGAAGAGTACGTCATGACAGACCATACAGGCGTAAGCGGTTTTCTTCCCCCACCAAGAGAACTTTTGGCCGCATGTACCATCACAGAACAGTTCAGCGCCTTCAATGAGGTCGCCTTCGTCGGTGGGCCAATCATCTGCCTCGGCATCTGTTGCGGAGTCTCCATCATCTCCAGCGTCATCGTCAGAATGCTCGTTAGCCTCATCATCCATTAATTTGACCTTAGGGTCAAGATGACAGAACACAGCAGAGTACATAGTGCGCGCCATTGTGTCAAGTTCTTGACCGTTGCGTATGGAATTGCCAAGAATGTGAAGAGCTTTCGATAGGCAGACCAAATTGTCTGCATCATTCCAACTGATTGTGTCACTGAGTGCATCAATACTACCGATCAAAACACCTTGGAGAGTATCCTGAAAATTGGTAGCGGGGCCCAACTTCAGATACATCCGAGAGAGAACGATCAGGCGGAAAGTGAGATATGTGATTGAAGTCGGCAGTACATCCAGGACGAGAGGACGGCCAAGGAGCCCTTGGACAGTAGCAAGCAATTCCGTCTTGTGCTTCGGGTCGTGGGAGCTTCTGAAAATTCCATACAGTAGCTCGCTGTAGTTGTCGACCGCACGAGTAACAGTGTAGTCGGGGGATGAGTCTGTGATGGGGTACGGATAGCCTGTTGAACCACTGTCGAGAACCTCATCCAAAGCTAGCCTTGCTGCCTCGATGTCCCCCGTAACATGCTGATAGAGCAGCGAAAGATCGATTCGTAGCGGTGCAGCTGCATTGACGTTTTCCAAGTACTGAATGGAGTCCAGGTATAACTGGAGGACGAAATCAACTTCTCCGGACTGGAGGGCAGCTTTACGGAGCAATCGTGATCTATCGTCGTGGTAGTCGTCGTATTCCCAGCAGAGCCAGGTCAGTCGCTGTAGCGGGCTCCAATTCTTCAAAACACCGATGAAGCCCTGCTTACTATCCTCCTCCGAGAATAGATCAAGTTCTTCGTTTAAAATTTCCCCAGTCATAAGGGTTGTCGGATCGATAGATCTTGCGTGAGCGTAAGAGATCGCGGCTGCTTCATTCATCTCCAGCTTTGCCTCGATCCTCGCCTTGGTGATACACACTGTGCGGCGCAAAGGTAACGGAACAGTTTCGTCGTTCATCTTTCCGAAACACTCGAGAATATCCCGATGGCTGGCCTGGGCATCATTCTCTAAACGGATTCGGGACATAAGCTCTCTAGTTCTGACGATGTCGAGAGTGCCATTGAGGCCATCCAGGGCATTTTGACACAAGGTCTCTGCAGGCTTCAAGTATTTGAAATGTAACATGAGAGAAGCAAGTGCACGGTATCCTACGGGTTCAATCTTTATGTCTTCAAAGAGACCTTCGATACCTAGGACACCTTGCTTCTCGTTCAGAAATTCTCCCATGCTTCCGATCTCATGTTCGTAGTTTTTCTTGGCTTGCTGCAAAAGAGTAGGTTCCAAGTTGCTCTACTCGGGTCAGTAGGCATCGTGAGGAAGAAAAGGTGGAACTTACGGTCTTGATGGCATCCCTCGCTCTTCGGTAAGAAGCCAAGGCAGTGTCGACACTGAGGGAAATGTAAATTTGCCGCAAGTGAGCCTTCACGAGAGACATCAAACAATTCTGCGGGTTTTCTGAGACGTTCTCCCACCACTCAACCGCATCCTTGCTTAGTTGATCTTTGTAGACGCTGAGGAGTTGACTCCATCTTGAGATTTTCTCGAAAACTTCGTCGGTGAATGTGCTCGAGTAGCTGGATCCAGTCCATTCCATCATCCGAGAGAACGACTTTTTGTTCGCCAAAGTGGAAGCCAGCGCCTCCATGACCTCGATTTGTTCCTCAGCTGTATGACTTTCAAAGTCAATGCGAAACCAGTGTGATACAATGTGAACCACTGCATAACGACTGAGAGCACTGGAAATTGGGAATGGGTAGTGGCCTGTAGTGCAGGCAAGCTTGGTGCAGTCTAGAAACATCTGCCGATGAATCTCCGAGGGCCTTATGCGGTGGGCGTGGATGTCGGTCTTGTCAGGTTCTTCAATAAAAAACGATCGCATCGAGCGCTCCTTGAATTTCACAGGCAGCTCACCATCATTGTAGATGGCCTCGTGGTCGACAGCTGTCTGCGTCTTTTCCAACTCGCTTACAGCCGTGCCCCATCCGCCCTGAGCCTGGATCTTGACACGTTCTTCCGCATCAGACCCAGGATCACCAACCTGGAGAAAGCTCTCGAATGGCTCAGGAACCTTTTCAATGTCAAAGTTGACATCGTTCACCCACAATCGTACCAGTGAAACTACCTCGTTGAATGTCAATGGTCGGAAAGCGAAGGCTAGCCAATGAAGGAGCTTAGACACAATGGGCTTGTACTCGAGCTCAGTTCGACGGTAGCAGTCAGTCAACAAGCCTTCATAGATCCCATGAAGTCCCGAAGGCAATGGCTTTTCCAGGTTGCGGATAACAGCGCCTTCGCGTCCTAGGTTGTCAAAACGCGCAAGCATATGCGCAGCGTACAAAAAGTCTAGGTCGTTAGTATGCCACGGTACATCTCGGTCGAATGAAAACCTTACTTGGGGCTACCTCCTCGACTTTGTCGGCAATACGTTGTTGGACGTAGCGATCGAACTTTCTCATGGTAGATAAGGAATTGATGTGACTCCAGATAAACGCCCTCAGGTCTTCCTTCTGGTTTTCCCTCGTGACATTGACTGCGAGCACGGATGATGATTCTTTAACAATGGAAAGAACCCCTGGTCTAGAAGTGAAAGCCACAGTGATCCTTAGATTCTCCTCGCGTATCACTTTGAGAAAACTAAGAAACTCGGTGAGATCATCGAGCTCATCAAGCCCGTCTAAGAGCAGAAGCAACTTGAACTTGGAAGCTTTACCAAAGGCAGGAACCAAGATCTGACGAATGAGCGATTCGGCGACATACGAATTCATGTCGAAGCCATCCTTGATTACCTCTGCATTGACCAGCTCACAGAGCGAAGCGTTCTGTTCGACAGTTTGAATGATGACAGTCGTAATGGCGTTGCAAAAGTTTGAGAGACTGGACGATTGTTCCCGGAAGTAAAAATGCGCGGCACAAGTAAGCTTCGAGGTGTCGTTCATGGCTTCACCAAGCAGCCTTTCGTAGACTGTGAGCCCGATGTGACTTTTCCCAGAGCCAGGTTCGCCGGTGATGGCCAGAGTTAAGTGGTCGGCTTGGCCCTGCTTCAGCCACTCGTCCCATGCGGGCTTCAAAAAGACCCAAGTGCAGGTGTCCTTAACAAGCGTTTCCTTCAAGACGAGGTACTCATGGCCGTCCCCCTCTACCTCAACTAGAATGTTGCGGATCCTCTTTGCGGATGGAGGCTTATTTTGCTCTACCGCCTTGGCACGTTGGTCATGGCCACGGTCCTTCTTTTCTTCGCGTTTTTGGTCATTGAAGGCTTTCAGCAACTTCGCCATGTCACTTTGGATCATCTCGGTGGTGTCACGAATCGAGTTCATGATCTGCATCTGCTTCTCCAGCATTGCAGTATGTGTTTCTTGGTTGGTCAACAACTCTGTGCTCATCTTTTGGATCTCTTCCGTATTGCCAAGGATTGCAAACTCTGTCGCTTGTTGGAGACGTCGAATTTTGAGATCCATGCCTTTACGAGCGCCGCCTAACTCGGTATCCTCGCCGTGAAGAAGGTTGCTGATCCACTTCTCTAGTAAAAGATTAGAAAACTCGAACGAGTGATCAATGTTGTTTGCATTTTGTTCCTTGACTCACTGAAACGGCCTAGCTCAATGAACTTGTGGGCAAAGCCACACATGACTAGGAAAGACGTGAAAACATCCATGAGACAGTTTTGATAACCCTTATGTTTCGGTAGTCGGGTCTCAAGAATAGTGATACGCTGCAAAAAGCTGTTCATGTCTTCAAAGAACACCATCACGATGTCATAGTCTGCCGAGACTTGGCGGCATGCCTGGATTCGAATGAGCTTGTACACGACATCGAGTGACGAAGAGAACCACTCACGCTTAGCATTATGGTGACCGCAGTGCCAATAGCTGCAGCTGGAGGGAAAGCTGGAACGGCTGCCGAGACGAGCTGCTGTGCGCCCTTTTCGATATAATCGAGATTGGCAGCAAACAGGCTTCGCAGTTTGTCTACTTTCTTGTCGTTATGGCGAAACTTGTGAAAGTTTTCCATTTCGTGGGTGCCTTGATCAATCATCGCCTGAACGCTATCGAACTTACGCTCCAGGTCGAACCCTACGATTCCTTTGTAGGCTTTGAGGGCCTCTTTCCACAGGTCGGAAACATCGCGATTGTCGTTCTTCACCGCCTCCGACACCTCCTTTTGGGCGGCGCTGGCTGTCATTGGTAAATCTGCTTTCAGCACAGGTCTTCGTTGCGCATTTGGCGAAGATGGAAGATTTTGCTGAATCGAGGACAGGGATTCACGCCCGTACTTGTAGATGGTTTTCATTCGGGTCTTGAGTCGAACCACTGATAGGGAGGTAATGAAGTTGGGGGCGGTTTTGAAGCTAGACAGGGCAAGTAGCGCTTGGTCGGTAGTTAGTCGCGAGATGGCGCGCTGATGGTGGCTCACGGATATGCAGCCCATGCTGACATGCAGCATCAGCTGAAGCCCAGAGGTCACACCCTCGCCAATCCTTTCACCTAGTGACGCTTATTCAAGGAATATCGTTGTCTGACACAACCTAGCCAAATGGCGTATCCAGGTACGACTTGCCGTTCACAGCAGCCCTACATCAACTTTGTTTACCCTAAATTGAGACTGATGAACACAAACAGACTGTCGGCCCCCCAAGCACCAAAGCACATAAAGACACTGCGTGGGTGAATTGTAATAAATACTAGATACATTCTACCGTGGGTAAGTAACATCTTCTCCAGTGTCAAGTCATAGTCATGGGAACCTTTCTGCGAGCCTATCCAGTTTTCGGGCGAGTCTTTGCTCCGCTACTGTTGAGATCACTGAGAGCAGAAATGGAGAAACACACAAAATATTCCAACGACAGAGTAGATCGCCGCCTGCAACATGACAAGGACAGAGGGGATATCTGGAGTTTGTTCAATGAAACGCTGACCTCAACAATATCTTCCGAGGGGAGATGTACGCCAACGCCCAAATAATCATGATTGCTGGGACCGAGACGACAGCTACGTTGTTGAGTGTGCTCACGTTTCTTCTTTGTCGGAACGCCGACAAATTGAGGATTCTTTGTAAAGAGATCCGGTCGCTCCATCTTCAGGACCTGAACATCATCAACCTGCAACGGCTTCCTTATCTCAACGCGTGTCTAGAAGAGGGGCTTCGCATGTATCCCCCGCTCCGGGCGTGGTGGCTTGTGTGGCTCCTCAAGAAGGGTCAACTGTCTGCGGGCAATTCGTCCCAGGAGGAGTAAGAAGCCACATACTCTCTGATCCCCGCTGATCACTATCACTAATATAACTTTAGACGGCTAGAAGCGTCGCGCAGTACACAGGTTACACTCCGGCCTGCAATTTTGCTAATCCGTATGATTTTGTGCCCGAACGTTGGTTGGTTGAACCGCCCGAGAAGTACGCAAAGGACAACAAGGAGGTTGTTCAACCCTTTTCGTATGGGCCGAGAAACTGCATTGGCAAGAAGTACGTATCTTCCAAGTTTTTGATTAACCCTGTCGTGATCCTTTGGCGAATTTGGGGGTCTAGCGTTGACTCTTTCTTAGTCTTACCTATCACGAGATGCGTCTCATTTTAGCCATAGTGCTGTGGAAGTTCGACATTGAGCTTGCGGATAAGAACTCGAATTGGATCGATCAGAAGTCTTTTGGTATCTGGAAGAAGTCTCCCCTGGGTGTTCATCTTTGTTCTCGTGAAGACCGTATGTAGGCTGTCAGCTTGGCGAGAAGATGACAGTCTATTGGTCTCATTCGATTCGACGCAGATGCTACAGCAGTGGATTGACTCATCGTTCTCTGTTGTTCTTATTATAATTTTCATAGATAGGACAAGAATCAGCTAGAAAGGCTACGAGACACCTCAGCCCGAAGATGACCGCTTGCCTTCGTATTCTTTCAACCACTTCAGGACTTCTATGACGTTTTGATCCGGGGGAAACACGGGATACCAGTGTCTAATAATCTTACCACCCTCAACAGCCAGGGTGACCCGCTTGATCAGCTTTCGCTGTTTCCAATCAAAGGTAGGGAGTCTTGCAGCGGTCGCGAACTTCAAATTGGCGTCGCTCAAGAGATCATAAGGCAAATGGACCCTCTCTCGAAGCTCTTTCTGGGCTTCTGAACTCTGAGCAGACACGCCAAAGACCTGAGCTACCCCAAGGCCTTTCAGCGCCTCAAAGTTGTCTCGGTACGAGCAGGCCTGTGGCGTGCAGCCTCTGGCACCTGGGATACTGTTCCACTCGGGAGGAACTTCTTCCCCTGGTTCTGCAGTTCGTGGATAAATAAAGACAATTGTCAATCTATCCACTTGTGACAGGTCGACCTCCTTAGAGTCGTTTTTCGCCGAGGGAAGTGGAACGCTTGGCAGATTGAAACCCGTAAGGTGGTCGCACGACCCGTCGTCCTCAGGCCTGGGGAGGTCGAGGGGTAAGTCTGTACTTCTGTTACCAAAGTGCCTGTGATGCCATTGAAAAACGTTGATTCGAATCAAAATATTTGACTGCCTCTTCAATCATGTGTTTCCTCTCATGGAGATTCTGCCCCTTGTGCTTTCATATCGGGTTCAGAGCTTCTTCATAGGTGCAACTCAACTTACCACTCATGATTGGGGCGTGATTTCTGGAAACTGCAGACGCAAAACTGGGAGAGATCCACGAAGTTGCGGGGAAATTTTGGGGTTTAAGCTTGGGGGTGTTGGTGAATCTAATAACCTTCGCGTGTGCTGACCCTATGACGACATGTCGTTCCTGTGACTACGCCAGTTTAGGTAGTCTGTGATACTATGGAGCTTATGCTTCCATTCACCCGTAAGTCACATCGAGAAAAGCACTAACCTAACGAAACCGGATTTCGACGCTTGTATGTTCTTGCTTGTTTTGTGAGTAACAGGACTCCGATTGCTGTACCCGGAGTGGGTCTTGGAAGATTACAACTCTGTGTGTTGATTCATTCTACAAAATACTGCGCCTGTACATGCAAATTACATTATTGATTCTGAACCCCAAGAAGAAGAGAACAAATACTTTGGCTGACTCAATTAGCTCTTTATCAACTGTATGAATCAAATCTCTGAATCATTCCTGGGCATACACTTTGCAGCATGGTGGGAGTAAGTGAGGCGTTAGTTGACGTTAATTTGTATAGTTGAAAAATGATTGATGATTTTTAATTCTTTACATATCTATTATCTCATTAAGGCCAGGAGCTGAACTGGTCGTAGGCTCTCAATCCGAAGCCGCATGCGCAAAGACAGCAGCTAGTCGTTCAGTCAATGCTGATCATTTTGCAATTACGCCCCTCATCCCTTGCGGTCTTGTTGTCGGTGTAAGTCGTGTGACGCTGTCTAATCAATTGGCTGATAATACGTCATGACTGGTATGTCTAGTGCATCTGGGTTTGGTCTATCGTACCAGAATGGTATCGAAGGATACATCTTCTTCCACATTCTCCTATAACAGTGTATGTAAAGCTCCTCACGATCTTCAAATCTTCTCTCGACCGCTCTACGCTCGATTCTTTCAGACTTGGCAAAGTAATTATCGGCATTGTCTTGGTCCCGGTCAATCGCGTCAAGTTTGCGCCGGGGAGAAAATCGGAAGATCCCCCAGCACCCAGCCTTGTTGAAATCGTCAATGGCAATCGTCCTTTTGTTGTCATACGCCCGTCGACTTTCGTTTCGACGCCGAAAGTGCATGGCTTTGACTTCATTCATCCGTTTTCTGTACTCGATGTGTAGTTTTTGGAGACCCTTGCGTTGTTTAGTCTCCAGGGTTGATGGTGTTTCTTGCGAGGCAATGTCGGTTTCAGGTTCCGACCCTGGGGACGAGTCGGATGGAAGTTGTTCTTCGATTGGACTTTCTTGAACTACGCTTTCGTTCAAAGAAATCCGATGGCTGACTTGTGTGAAAGATCTGGGCCGGCGCGGCACGATCAACGGACGAGCGGCGCTTCCGGTTCCTGGAAATGAAGACATGATAGACAACTGTGTTATGACGTGGTGTTATACAAGCTCGTGAATTTCGCTGGATTCTGGGGAAGATATTGTTGACCTGTAGGCGGTATTGACTTCTGTATATCCCGATGGCATATGCTTTCTCCGATATGCTGAATCTTCAAGCATGCCGAAACCTGTCTCCGGTGCTCATGACCCTCAATGACTGTGGCCTTAGACTGGACATTCGATTAGATCAACCCATAAAGACTTGTCGATATCAACAGCCTCATCAAGGTTCCGTAATTTATCATAAACTACCGTTGGCGTGAGGGTTTCTTGATCAAGCACGGCTGAGGCGTGTTTGACATGTATTTTCACGCAAACAATTAAACTCTAGTGAAATACCTCTGTTGTAAATCTGTAATACGAATAAAAAATGCTAGTACATTTGTGGGCCTCCTCTGATATCTTAGTCACGATACTGCAATCTCAAAAGTATCGAGAGAAATCTGTATGTTATACTTGATGTAATTGTGTGCTGTTGCGGAATTGAAGCATTATCGCCAACGCCAACATGACATGGAATCATCAAATTCGATCAACGCAGATCACTTCAAAATTAACGTAAATCTAAGGCGGTGGTTCAGTGATGTACTCTCTTCTTCCGCACGCATGAGGTATTGTTGGATTGGAAGTCCAATTCGACCTCGACGTAAGGGTGCCCGCGCAGGGGCCAATTACGGCCCCTACTTACGATTACCGCGGCCTGCACAACCTACGGTTGCAACCTTCTTTTTACACCTACGCAGAAGATCATATAGTCCAATCGACCTCTTCGTCAACACACGATTCGAACCAATTGACCTGCGATACGGATACCATCAGGTATCACTCATGGGGACATTGTATAACGAGGGTTCAGTAAGGTAGACTGCAGAGTGTTTTATGCATGTGTCCAATTATAAACTTGACATCTAAGCTTGAGTAGAGGCAACAACTAACATAACATCGCCATCTGTTGCGTCTGAAGTCCTAGATTCCAGCTGCACCCGCGGAGCATCCAACCATCGTTCTGCCAATGGCTTGCCAGCACCAGGCCAACCCTTGTTTGCCGAGGCAGACAGCGCAAAGACAGACTCGACTAGGACCATTTCATATCCGGCATCTAGGCCACCGGCAGTAGCATGAGAAATGACCGGTATTAAGGTCCTAGAGCAGGCCAAGTTTGTGTTCGAATCAGGCTTCAGTGGAAAACTTTCTGATATCGTCTGGTGACTGCTCGGTGACTGTGAAACCACGCCGCTGGCGCCTGCGGAGGACAAGATTAAAGTGGAAAGCTCTTTCTGTAAAACGCCTTCAGCAGAGCCCAAGATGGCGTCTTTCGGAACCTCGGAGATGACAGGTAGAGGCAATCCGTCAGTCTGGCCTCCCTTTTTGCGGCCAGAGATCGCGAAGCCGCCCTCGATTGTGTGTAAAGTCTTGAGCTTCTCGTGCACTTTGATTTTGTGGACTCGAATATGCCAGTCCGGCCATCGGTCAGACGGTGGGATCAGCGTGGTGTCTATACTCACGGCTCTGTCGCCCCATGGATACCACTTGGCGCTCGCAGCTTGTACTTCCTGCGTGCTCGAAGCTGTCTTGATAAACGCAGTTGAGAAGCGCACTGGTTCAGACTTCCACTTCACTGCCCATGTCTCCCCACCATCACGACTCAAAGCAAGGGCGTTGTCTGGAGCAATCTGCTGGATCAACGGCCCCGTCGGTACGGAGAACGTGAAAGCGGAGGAGTACGCAAACTTGCAGTACTTAGCCTGGTTAGCCTTCATAGGCCACGCTACGAACTGTCCTGGCGAAAGGAGAAAGTGATGGTTGCCTCCAGGATGGTTGCACACAATCTGCTGAGGGGCTGGGACGAGCGCAACTGAGTCTGTTGAGGAAAGAGAGGGGTATGGCTCTTCATATGCAGTCCAGAAGTCATCGTCTTCCGCAAGACCAACCACAATGAGGGTCTTCAAACACCAGTACGGAGATTGGGGTGAGTTGTAATCTTCGCACAGGTACATGTTTCTAAGCTGAGAATAAGCAAATATCCGTTTGAGGCGGCCGCGGACGGGCTGGGATGTAGGAGCACTTACGGATATAACCATCCAATGTTCATGGTACCATCGGAATAGAAGACATCATTAGAGTTGTTTGCCCACCATCTGAGATGTCTTAGTAGGAAGCCTTTGATGGCCCCGGGGGTGTGAAGAGGCTTTGGCATGTTGGGTACTTGTGCCAGAGCTAGAGCAGCGAAATATCCTCCGCAGGCGAAGCGATAAGTTAAAGACCGGCCGAAAGGTATAGCAGAACCTAAAAGGTCTTAGCACATTGCATGGGTGGAGTGAAATCACCAAAAAGATCTCACCTTCAGCGTCAAAGTAACGCCAGAAAGTGGCACCAAAGTCTCTTGCTCTCTGGCGGTACTTCTCTGCTCGTTCGGGATCGATATCCGCAGCAAATCGAGAGTAGAGCAGCTGACTGAATTGAATCGCAAAGCTACCAGAGTAGTAGTCGGCCTGTCTTCCAATTCCAATCGCATCGCGTCTGCCAGTCTTCTCAAACTGCTCGAACTCATCCTGGGCCTGCTCTGGTGTTTGCCAAGGACCGTCTGCCGACCAACCATCAAATCGGTAGAAAGTGTCCAGGAGCGCCAAGTCTGAGTTTATCTCGTCGCGAACACTGTCATATGCCACCCCACATACTTTGAACAGAGCCAAGTTGGCAAAGACTCTGAACCAACGCCAGTTGTTCTTTGGCATTTCCATTCCATTCAAAGACCGGAGCCAGTTGGTGATGTTTTGTTTCGACTTTTCACTCAACGGCTTAAAAATGCGATCAGGCGCGGAAAGGAGGGCAAATGCTACAATTTCGGCCTCTACCATGCGCTGATCGGGGCCAAGAATTGGTCCCCAGTACTCAGGGTGCTCGGGATCGGTTCCTGTGACGAAGCCGTCGATCCATGGCTGGACTACTTCGGTGATTGCAGCGGACAGTGATGAATCTGAAGTGGCATCAGCTCCAAGGAGCAATGCGCCTACAGCCCATAGCGGCCGAGCAAAACCTTCTAGTTGGGCAGCTGTCTCATCAAAGTGCGTTGCCGAAGTCACCGGAATTCGGATCCGGCCCTTGGACGGAGAGAAGTGGGGTAAGAGGGGCCGGAGCAGGGCGAGGGTAGCTTGGACCAAGTCCGCCCTGGTTCGGAGAGGGTTATTGGAGAATCCTGACAGGGGTGGCATTGTGAGAGATGTTCGCGAACACACAAGATGGCTTGTGCGGAATGGAAGTGCTCGGGTTATGTCTCGACACCCATCGGCTGGTCTTATTTCGTCTTGCGATGAATTCGAAGGCTATTGGTTCCACTGTGGCTTCCCCAGATGCGTCGGATACCGGGGTATCTGTCGGACAGCCTGCCGGCGTGCGTTCGATGCGTTAGCCAGAGAAGGCTGAGTCAAAACGTCGTAACCACGACACGGCAATCCCTTGAACAGTGTCATCAGACGAAAATCAAATTACGAATCAGCCAGTCAGTGTAGCCTCTGATGTCCTTTGTCTTGCCTTTACTGTGAGCTACTGCAGTATTTTGCATGATGTGGTTTCCTTCATCTTGAGAGAACCAATGTCAAACCCGCGATTGGTGATAGTGAGCCTCTGTTCAAGATCGACAAGAAACGTCGAGTGCATTCTTTCTCCCTCCTAATGTGTTTGGAAAAGTTTGCTATTGATGCGGTCGCTTGAAAGTAGTGAGGGCTTCCATCCTCATCACTCTTCTTTGGAACGCAGTCAAGCTCCGAAGCGATAAGTTTAAGCAGATACAGAACACTCTGCCTTTAGTATAATGATGATTTGAGACTCTCGCTCGATAGTTCGTCCCTCTGAGGACTTAATGACCGCAATCACATTAGTCAGATTGATGACTCCCTCTTACGACGGGAGCCATCGGCACCTGAACATTTCTTGCAGTTTTCGGAGGTTTGTGCATGTAACATGCTGCAGGTACCCGAAACCCTAGCGCTCGAGGGGCATATTTTGCTAGGTTTCTTCAATCATTGGCCCTAAAATCATGTTTGCTATCCACCATGTATGTTCAAACTATTGGGGGTGAGACTATTCAACATAGGTTCTGGTACATGAGAAGAGGAGCTATGTCCATGCATTTAAGGTTGCTCACAAGAACAACATCATCTGCACGATGAGTTCACTGGTCTTTTGTTTGACAAGTTGTTCACATTGAGCTTCATGTATGGATGAGAAGCATAGAGTTGGGCAGACACAAGCGCGACGAATCGAGCTCATCAACTGGCGAGAAGTAATCATCAAAATCACTTCATCGCCGGTACGGCATTAGCGTGATTCGTGGACCAAGATGAGCAGCATCCTGTAGGTGACATTTGAGCAATGGCTGATATGAATGATTGAGTACCTAACTGATGACGTACGCTATCTTCAGGATCATGTTAGCAAACACGTCAGCCCGTAAAGTTTCAGCTCTTGTTCCGTGAGCCAAAGAAATGCGAACACAACTAAGCCCTGGAGAATTTCGAATGCCTCCCAACGCTCAAACAAATCCTCTCAACTCTCGCTTTTCTTCATCGACCAAACCTCGCTTTACCCAGCTGTGACGAGATTGAAGTCGAGCCGAAATTATTCTTGCCCATTGTTCTTCATATGCTAAGTTAACTGCTTATGTTTAGACCAGTGGCCGCCGACTAGCCTTTGTGTGGTGCCGGGCATCGGCTCAAAGGAGCCCGCAAGCGCTAACGAAACGCTCTCCAGTTTCTCCGCACCAACCTCGTTCCACCAAACCGCCCACTTCGTGTTCCTCACTTGCTCACCCCTGTCCCAATATCCCCAGAGTGCGGGGGAAACTTCCCGCCTCCTCTCTGCTCGTCCGCTTATGGGAAGGTGAGTTGTTATGGTCAGCGGAGGACTGAGTTCAAGCGCCAGAAAAGCTTAGTGTAAAGATTCGATGCCGTTGCCCCAAATCCCTCGGTCAAATCGAACCGAGAGCACCCCGGACGGTTCCCCTCTCCACAGCCACCCCCAACTTTCCCACCTCATAAACACAGGAATCCTCTTTCGATCCCCTCTTGCATCGTCGCGTCGCACGATTCCATGGCCGACGATTGCCACGTAACCGACGTTGAGAGGAGCCACACGCAGAAACGCCCGCGCCGCTCGCACAAACGCCCTTGTCTGCGGCGTTCATCGGGTCTTTGACTCTCGGTCTCCCGCCGATCGGACCGGGCTCTCTCCGGGGCGCCGCCACCACCGCTGCCGTGAGCCTGCTGTTGGGCGCCGATCGCTCAGGCCGATATGGATCTGACCGCACCGGCGCCGGCTTCGGGTTCGCAGCCCCCTGATGGCTCTGATGGCGACATCCCATCTTGTCAGGGCTGTCGGCGCCGCAAGCTCCGGTGTTCCCGCGACCAGCCGATATGTTCGCACTGCAAACGGTTGGGTAAGTTTCCTGGATGCCGCACTCAAGTCGATCATGGATCTAGAAAGGCATACTGACCGAACAGACTCGCCATGTGTGTACGATTTGAAGAAGAATAAGCCGGGTGTCAAACCCGGAGCGGTTGAGAGCCTGAATCGCCGAGTGGGTAAGTCTCACCCGAATCCGAAACCCTGTCAGTAGAGTCAAACATTGACTGTCATGAAGAGGTTTTGGAAAATGCTCTATTGCAAAAGTCCAGTGACGGTTCTTACCCGACCTCAAATGGCAACGGCAACATAGAGTCGCACAGCGCGCCGGCCGAGTCCCAGAACGTGGTCGGAATCCTCTCTTTGCTGGCGCGTGAGCTACACAAGCTCAATTCGAAGACCAAACCTGGCTCTCAAGCCGGCACACCTGAAGGGGCAGCTGAGCATGCCGTGTTCTCTCCAACAACGTCCAGCTCTTCCAGGCGAAACACCATCGACGGAGTCGAAATTGTCTCACATCCTCACAACCAACCAAGAAAGCGTCGGAGGGTCGATAGCTGCGGCAACCCAAACATCGATCTGGCCTTCCCCTTGGAAGACCTGGAGAACATCACAACAAGCCTGCCACCACCAGAACTTTTGGAAGACATCATCAATATCCATTTCAACATCATCCAGCCCTGGATTCCAATCCTACACGAGACGCAGTTTCGTAGGCGGGTACACGACCCGGAACAGCTGCCCCGCTTGGTTGTCGTTCTCCATGCCATGGTAGTGGCAGCTCTTCGATTCGTTGACAACTCTGAAATCCGACTCTCGGCGCTTGAAGTTGAACGACGGACATCGCGGTCGAGAAACATCGTCATACTTAATGCAATGGATCACCTTTCGGTCGAGAATCTGCAAGCGCTGGTTATTCTAGCCTTCAACGATGTGAGTGCTTCCCAAAACATCTCGTCGAGGTGATCTCAATCAACATTACTAACATGGCCAAGATCGGAAACGGAGATGCGTCAAAGGCTTGGTCAATAGTTGGATCTCTCACAAGGACTGTCGAATACCTCCAAATGAGTATCGAAGCCGATCACCAAGACAAAGAACCTCTTCTGAAGCCGTTGCCGTCAATACCACCACCCCAGAACTGGACCGAAGAAGAAGAACGGCGGCGAGTCTTTTGGAACATCTTCAACCTCGATAGGTGAGCCAGACTGATTCAGAACTTCTGTTGCTGTGTTACTAAACCCACCTTTCCAGATTTTGCTCCGTCACAACAGGGTAAGGCCTTGCATAAGTGCATGTAGAGCTGAGAGGCAGAATAATCGAACTGACTTCCGTAGATGGAACACCAGTTTAACGTCTGATGATGTCTATCGTAGACTTCCAGCCGACGGTGGTCTTTGGCACAAGGAAGAGTCAGTGATTACTCCCTTCTTCGGTATCTGGGATCGGTCAGCCGCCAAGATGGGCAACTCCATTGCCTTCTTACCGGCGCACTATCCTAGTCCGGAGCAGACGGCCGACGCACCACCGCAAACCCCCATCACCGCTCACCCTCGCAAAGGTCCCAATACGGTCGACATGACCACAGTCGGGGCGTTTGCATACTGCATAGAAGCGACCGAGTCTCTTAGTAGAGTCACCACGTACTTTCTTCAACAGAAGATCAACTTCCTGGATAGACAGGAAGTCAGCAGCTGGCTTACTCGGTTCAAGGAGCTAGATCTGCGTCTAGTGCAGTACGTTTGAAGCCGCGCCTTCGAGATTTCATCATGCTGACAAGAATCTAGCTGGAAGATGTTCCTGCCTCAGAAGTGGAAAGACTCCAACATCTCTCGCCAACCCGCTCTCATCAACATGGACCCTAATCTCACGCTCGCGCACATCACTCACAACACCTCAATGATTCTTCTCCACCAACGTATAGCTTATCCAGAGCCTCGTTGGTCTAACATAGTGAAGCTTCCTAGCTTCTGTAGCGCTGAAACGTGCCAAGAAGCCGCAGTCGAGACTACAACAATCACTGAGAAGTACTTGAAGTACACCCCCGAGAACAGTCCCGCTACCAGTCAATTCGCCTTTTGCGTCTTCATCAGCGCCAGAGTACTCCTCGGTAAGTGAATGTGAACCTGCGACACGATTAGGCCCTAACGCTCCCCAGTCCATTGGCGGTACTACGACGCTGAGCTTGCCCCGGAATTCTGGACTCTGGTTGAGAGCATGGAGGAAATGGCCAAGCGCTGGGTCGGGCCCATCCTCAAAGAAAAGCACGCCCAGTGTCTCGCTGGCAAATACGCCGCGCAGCTCCGCGACCTCCATCGCAAGTGTCAAGCAGACCCCCAGTTCACCGTTGATGTTTTGGGATACTCCAGCGGCGTTGGCGGTCAGGGATGCAGTCCTGCTGCCCAGACGCCAGCTTTCAGCCACCAGCAGGGCAATGCCTTGTTTGCACAGAGCTCCAACAGGATGGCGCCGCCCGTCTCAAGTCCCTTGGCACCGAACCAGACGATAGGACTATCGCAACCTCGGCCGCCGCCCATCTTCCCAAATCAGCAGCCGCAGGGCCAGATGAGGCAGGGCTCGATGATGGGTTCCATGGGATCTCCCATGCCGATGACTGGGTTTACCCCGAGAGACTCGGATGCGCCTGATGAGCTTTCTGCCATCTCGCACATGCTGATGGATCAAAGATTCATGGAGATGGACAGGATCATCAGTTTTGATGACATGATGTTCACAGCACAAACGGCGAACAATGGCAATGCGTCCATGCCAGTCAATGGTTGGGGTCCTGTTGATAATACACAGCTGGATTGAACAAGTGTTGAGAGAGTTCCCATGAGAAAAACGATTTCATATTCTATTCGTGATACCCTCATTTAGCCCGTACATACACAAAGCACTATGAACTACACCAATCCCATCTTCAGCAGTCTGTTGCCGAATTCAATCAAGTAGTAGTCGCCGTAAACCAAGCCATGATCCCAGTATCTCTTGTGGTCCCGTGTGTTGTGGTTTGCCGTAGCGTTCTTCAAGATAGCGTCAAATGTCTTGCCCTCCTCGACGTCTGCGGTCGAGATGTCGCCATTGCTGAAGACGAACTTAGCCTTCTCCATCGCCAGCGAGAAGTCGAGGGTATCCTTCACGATTGTAAGGGCCATATCCCGGTATCTCGCGCTCTCCTTCGCTAGACCCTGTCCCGCCAAGGCCTGGGATAGAACCAGCATACCGTTGGCGGCAATGATACCTGCGGATGAGTCTCTCAAAGGGAATTCCTCGTTCTCGATCGGCGCGTCAAAGTCCCAGAGCGGGACGTATCGGCCCTTCGTTCTGTTCTCGCCCTCCACGGGGAACTCGACAGACTTTGGTGACGTCTCTAGCCGCATGAAGAAGTATTCTGCGAGGCCGCGGGACACTTCCAAGAACTCCTCGTCACCGGTCCACAGGAACGTCTGAGCGTAGCCAAGAATACCCCAAGCTTGGCCTCTCGCCCACGTCGACTCGGCGGCGTATCCCTGGCCCGTTCTTCGCTCCTTGATCTCACCGTCCTTGGGATTAAAGTTGACGACGTGAACATTGCTGTACATCTTCTCTTTGATGATACCTCTGGAATCCTTTTCGACGCGGAGGTTCGACTTGATCAACGTCTTGGCGTGTCTTGTTGCGGCATCCCATAGCTCTTGCTCGCCGGTGTGAGATGCAGCGTAGTAGAGCAGGTCCAGATTACACATCGAGTCGATGATAACGAGGAAGTCGTCTGTCAAACTCGTAATAGTGACACCATGCTGGGTCAGCGCGTCCCATGACCGAATGGCTCCGACAGTTGAGTTGTACCGTGTGTAGAGAGCCTTGGCCGCGGTCACGATGGAGTCCAAAGCCTGCTTGTCTTGGGCAACCTCCCATCTTACTCTCATTGACGGCTGGATCATGAATGACATGTCGTGGGTATCCGTGCGCTTGGCTGTGGTGTGGAGGGGTTCTGACCATGAGGCACCGAGCGACCATAGCTTTGACAGCAAAGCCGCCTTGTCTTGCCCACCGGGCATGGTGTGAGGGAACTTGACTAGTCTCTCAATGAGGGAGTAGATGTTACCTGGGAAGAAACCACACGTCCAGAAATCGGCCTCTCGCAAGATGTACTTGCCGGCTTCCGGGCCCGTCTGGAGGACGTACTCTGGATATGCCAAAGGAGGATCCTGTACGTTGTGAGAAACTGACATCTTGGGGTGAGAGCATTGCAACTTACATTGTTCACAAGCGCATCTGTGGCTGTTCGGAAGATTTTGGCAGTGACGTTCTCCTCGAACAAGCCCCCGACTTGTTCTCTGATGGGCTGTGATTGTGCCATCTTCCGCCTCAAGGTGGTGACAGACCTGCCTCCTGATTCTGAGATGCTAGTGTCGCTATCAGCATTGAGCTCGGTGGTGCTGTCAGACTCGGCATAGGTCACGTCCTTCGGGGATGAGACGTCATCCACTGGGATGGAGGTGTGTCCACTGAGATGCGCCATGTTGACAGAGATGATTCAAAATATTCTATTGCAATAGAGACAAAAGCATTGAAGCATTCACTTACGAACTAGGTGACCCTGGAACACTCGGGGCTAGAGTCTTATAAGGGCGTCAGTGCGAGTTAGATCAGCGTGAAAGTAAGCCGGAACTCTGTGTTGACGCCGGATGAAGGAAGCACGGTATCTTCGGCCTGTCGCTCGGGACAAGACGTTGTATTCCTCGTAGCGGACTTGCGGCAAGATCCAAGATTGAGGCGTTCGGTCGAAGCGTCGGGGAACCAAAGTCTGGTTGGAGTGGTAATCGGGTGGTGGTGCAGTCTCTACGCGGAGGATTTGTCGTCCGGACGATTGCCCGATGCCCGGAGTCGAGATCTTGACAGCTGTGATTCTTCCGACTTGGCCTTTTGGAGTCTAACTTTATTGCCAAGACATTGTCATCACGTTCTCGAGCTTATATAACCCGTCGCACTCCTTGATGTTGCAAGTTTGTCGATGCAGGTCAATGATCCTGATCTTAGGTGAAACTGTGCGACTAGACACAGCCGCCCGCCGGTCGGCGTGGAACTTCCTCGCTATGCTGCACGACCATCCATCCGCACGACTTCAGAGAATTGTAATTATTTTCACCATCTGGAGTCTCAGAACTTGAAGGCCAAGCTGTCTGCAGTTTCATTTGGGTTACTGTCTCTCTCGCAATTCGTCTGGGATGCAATGGGTGCTCACGAGCAGGGTTCGCTGATTGTCGGACTGCGGTGTTGTCCCCGCGAACAGCCCCTGCCTCCAAGCCGCAAACACCGGCACTTTCATTGGCATGATTGATTAATTGACATGACTGAAAACACGACAACCAAGCTGTCGGTACAACTTCCTATGGACTGCATATACGGATAGCCTCCGCGGTGAATTGAGAGTCCAGGGACGCAGCAACGGTTTGACTCAAGTAGGTGCAGAATTCCAAGAGCTAGAGAGATAGCAACACCGAGGCGCGACGGCAACTCCGGGTGCTGTCAGCAAACCTGGAAACCAGGCATTGGAACAGTTCAGGCCAGTTGCGCGGCTAGATAACAGCACATGGAACATATCATTGTCCTGGATATTCTCGTTATCCACCCAAACAAGTCCGAACAGCCGGCAACGGCAATGTTACCCGACAACGTGGTTCATCTGATATGGTCCATTCGTACTGGACCCCTGTGACGTGAGCAACAGTTCGGCTTGGCGGCTCAGTGGGAGTCTGGAGATCTCCACGTCCTCCACGCCATGCTGTAGGGCTGAGCAGCTCATTCAGCTTGACGCAATGCTCGGAAAAGATACCAAACGTCGCGATGTCTTCGCACGCACCGCGCTGTTATCAGGCTTGTCCGGAAAACCCCCACAGGCTGACGAAAAGTTTATCATTTAGCTCATTTCAATAATCCCGCTCATCGTCACGAATGTTACCCCAACCAGCTAGAAGAGATTAGTTGACCCCACAAAGTGGATGTTGCACGACGTCGCGGACGCCGCCGCCAACACCCGCGTAAACCTCTCTCACCTTGGCAAAGCCCAGTATCTACCAGGCTGAGGTTCTCAGCACCGGTAAGCGAGTAGGAAGAACCATGATTAGCTAAAATGAGGTAAAGCGAGAAGTTGGCAGAGTGAGGCCCCTCTACAATCGCCGCCGACTTGTTTATAACGCGGCAGCGGCCCGGCCGCCGTGGGAAATGAATGGCCTCCTCCGTTCCCCCAGCTCTCGGCCCGTTCTTCACTGCCGGCAATCATACCTTCACATTGGTCTTTTCTGGCTAGCTGCAGCTCTATTCAGTTACTAGCTCCATCTCCAGTACTGTCAACATGAAGACCTCTATGAACCTCATCGTTACCTCGCTCGGGCTGGCCATCGCCCGTGGCGTCGCGAATGCCGCCCCGTCGGTCTACGCCTCCAACCACACTGCCGGCCCCGAGTTGAAGCACTGGCCGGCCGAGGCGGCCAAGGCTCTCAACACCATGATCGCGGCCAACGCCAACCAGAGCCAATACGCCGTCTTCGACATGGACAACACCAGCTACCGCTTCGATCTCGAGGAGTCGCTGCTGCCGTATCTCGAGAGCATCGGTGTCCTTACCCGTGACACCATGGACCCCACACTGAAGCTCATTCCATTCAAGGACACGGTAAACCACACCGAGACGTTGTACAGCTACTACCTCCGCCTGTGCGACATTGACGACATTATTTGCTACCCATGGGCAGCTCAGATCTGGAGCGGTATTCCTTTGAGGGAGCTCAAGGAGCACGTAGACGATCTCATGGCTCTCAACCGTACCATTCCTACCACTTACTACGAGGGCGACATTATCACCCCCACCGAGGTCAGCCCTCCCAAGATCTTCACCGGCCAGGTTGAGCTCTACAACAAGTTGATGGCCAACGGCATTGATGTCTACGTTATCACCGCCGCTGCTGAAGAGCTGGTCCGTATGGTCGCTGCCGACCCCAAGTACGGCTACAACGTCAAACCTGAGAACGTCATCGGCGTCACCATGCTCATGAAGAACCTAACCTCCGGCGATCTCGCCACCAGCCGTAAGCAGATCGAGGACGGCATCTACAACGAGGAGGCCAACCTGGACCTCGTTATCACTCCCTACCTCTATACTCCTGCTACCTGGATGCAGGGCAAGTGGGCGGCTATCCTCACTTACATCAACGAGTGGCAGGGACCTATCTTGGCTGGTGGCGACACCCCCGCTAGCGACGGCCCCATGATCTTCCACGGCGTCAATGTTGCTAAGGGCGGCATTCACCTCTGGATCAACCGCAAGGACAGCGCTATGGCGACCATGAACGAGATGATCGTAAACAACACTGCTGCTCAGAAGGCGAACAACCTTCCCGTCACCGCGGACAAGAACTGGGTTATTGTTACTCCTACGGAGATTCAGTAAATCTAGGAGCAAAAGCTAGACACAGCCGCAAAGGCATAACAGAACTAGATGATCAATGTAATGTTTTATCATGCCAGTTACCATTAGCCTTCGTCTTTGGTACTTCTAAAGATTGTACACATGTCGAATTCGACCACCAGAACTACCAGCGCAGAAAGATGGCTTGCAGTCTGGGGCCATTGAAGACACCCCCAACCCATAAACTTGATTAAGCACTTGCCCTCACTCATGGCCACCCTCGTTTCTAATATACCACACGGACGGGCATATCACTCTCTGCAACTCGAAGATTGACTTCAAACTGCCCAGAAGAGTCAAATCTGAGACGGCCCAACAATCAAAAGAGGAAGCGCAGTCGCTGAGGGCAAAAACATGGACGATCTGGGAATCGAACCCAGGACCTACCGCATGCTAAGCGGTCATTATACCACTAAACCAATCGCCCATCCTCTGATCTAGCCCGGACTTGAACCGGAGACCTTCAGTGTGCCTCGTGAAGCGTAAGATGCGTTCACGATGTTAGACTGACGTGATAACCAACTACACCACCAGACCATGTGTTTGTTGCAAGGATCATTTGAATGAGGACTTCATTAACTTGTGGGTCTGCGTGTTGTGGGAAAGGCCCAGCCTCTGTGGGGTGGGAAGACCTTTATCCACTCAGATTCAACCGAAAGCAGTTAAGCATCGCCTGCTTCTCGCCAAAGGGCCGCAGGTCGGCTCTGAATGGGAACAGAGGATCAAGCTGATTCAAGAATGATACGCAATAGTAAAGTTCATAACTGTCCGGAGCTAGAAAGCTGTTGGACATTTGAGAAGACCGTCCTTGTTGGCGCTCGGCCCAGTCCAACTTTGCCAAGTCCAGCTGCCATGGGTGACTTGAAAGTGCTCCGGAATTCTCATGGCCCAATCAGTCCACCCAGTTCTTCGCTTTCCATCTTCCCACATCCTTCCACAATTTGTTCTAGCTTTAGCTTGCCCGTTCATGGAAGTCATGCCCCGGGAAAGGACCGCAGGCACGGGGTTTGAAGCCTGTAACATACTTCGCAGTATTCTGTGCCGCAAGCTAAACCAAGCAGGCCCACCTTGTTTGCTACATGCTTGCAGGTGAAGATAGCAGCTCAGCAAACCAACCAATGTCACAGGTCCAAAAGGGCGCCTTTGCACGAAAGCATCTTGGCCTGCATGCTTTTACATGGTTCTAATCACTGCCGAGGCCAGTCAAATCGCCCCAACGTGACGTTGGTTGTTGGAAGGCGGAAACGTTATGTTCTCATTCGTCAGCGAGACAGCCATTGTGCCAGGTGATCAAGTGGCACAGTGATGCTGAAGAATCTGGAAGTGTCTGTGTTGTAACTGCCGCTGGCGTTTAATCCGGTTCCTCCGGCGTTCTACTGAGAAAAGGTGGCGGATTTCCCTTATAGTCGTGGTCGCTACCCCCTCATGAATTTGTAAATTGTTGGAAATCAATCTTTCCAGGTGTTGATTTGGTGCAGACTCGCTATGGGGGTCACACTTTTGCACCCCGAAGATGAATTCGATCGAAGGGCCATGGTCATGGCATTAGTTGGAGCTGCAGGGGTTCTCGTAGTCTGCAACGTAAATTCCACTCTGTCTGACAAACGCCAAGTATCCCCAGCTGATTGAAGCAGCTCTTATTGCAGTACCTCAACTCCCCTCTCAAGCATATTCCAGGGCCTTGGCACACACGATGCTCAAGACTGAGCTTGAAGCTTAGCCGGTTGACTGGAACCCGCATGACATACGTACACCAGCTCCACGAAAGGTACGGAAGCATTGTCAGAATCGCACCAAATGAATTATCATGCATCGATATCCAATCAGTTTCCCAAGTCTACAAGGTTGGCGGCGGTTTCGAAAAGGCGCAATGGATTGGCGACTACGCAACGAAGCTTCCAGCCCTATCTCTGTCCATGATTTTGAACAGCGAAGAGGCGAAGCAGCGGCGAAGACTTTTGCAGGGCTCCTTCGCCATTACATCCCTACGAAAAAATTGGGAATCGACTATTAGGAGTAAAGTTGAGCTTGCAGTCATGAAGATCAAGACAGAGGCTTTGGCGGGCTCATCAAACTCGCACAAGTGGTGGACGTATATGGCCGCTGATGTCATCAGCCAGCTCTCATTTGGGCAATCATTGGGGGTGTTGGAATCCGGAAAGGTATGAAAGAACATTTACCTATCCTTAGATCTTACCGAGATACTGACGGACTAACCACATGTATCATGTTGTAGAGTACCATGTACATGCGAGCCATTGAGAATGCTCTGATAGCGGATGTCATCCAATGCGAGATCCCATTCCTCGCCTCTCTATCCCAACTCATACCTCGGTCACTGCTTCAAACATTCTCTCGGCAGCTTGAGCAAGTCAGACTTGGTGGTGCAGATGGCGTAGCGAGTGTCAAACAGCGAGGTCCATCATCAGCCCAAAGTATCTTTACGGAAATGATTGCAGAATGTGATAGTGAAGGTCGGACTTGGTTGACAAAGGAGGCCGTCGGTATGGAGGGTGCAGGTATGATGGTTGCAGGAACAGACACAACCGCTGCCGTTTTGACCTATCTCATCTGGTCGGTGTTGAAACAGCCAATCCTGCAGGAAAAGCTTGAGAATGAGATTGCACTACTCGGCGATAACTTTGACGATAAACGACTTGAGGCATGCCCCATACTAGGTGCCGTCATAGAAGAGACCTTGCGCTTGTATCCCGCCGTCCTCTCATCTCTACCAAGGCTTATTCCAGGAGGGGGGACTACGCTGTCATCGTACTTTGTGCCTGCAGGTACTGTTGTTTACAGCCCAGCCTACAGTCTGCAGCGCGACCCTAAGGTGTTCCCGGATCCTCATCGGTACGATTACCTAGAATATCCATCTGAAAAGGCACTAGCTAACTCGAGACTGTCTAGATTCGATGTTGATAGGTACCTTGACCCGACCAAAGTTTCCCTCCAACAAAGGCAAGCATACATCCCGTTAGGAGCTGGGGCCAGAGTCTGTATTGGTCAATATCTGGCAATGGTGGAGCTCCGGCTTTCCACTGCTGTATTCTTCAAAAGATGTCGCGGGGCAAGACTAGGCCCAAACATGCCAGCCGACAGCATGAAAATGAAGGATTACGTTCTTCTATCGCCGAAGAGGAAGCGATGCGACATCACCTTAATTTAGAGAAGCAAACCCAACGACCGTCGGCTTCTAAGGATATTTCCCAAAGAATTTCTCTTAGCATGATTTCGATGTAAGTTGGGAGAGTTCACAGAGCACTGGCTTTTTGACAATGAAATACCTTAGTACAAATACCGCATACCGGTTAGATTAGTACATTAGCCATATTTGTCTAAGAGAACACCTGCTCATCATTGAAGCATCTTAGAAACTTCCTGTCAATCGGCCACTCGTTCTTTTCAAGAATAAACGCTTCTATCTTACAGACATATTTTAATGGTCGAGGTTGCGACCACATCCAAAGCCAACTCATTCTAGATTCGCCAAGGTCGCTGGATACAGTCTGCCAAGGAGCATTTTCCCGACCTGCGCTAAGTCAGTCACCTTACCCAGAGATCGATTTCCATGATAACCTAAATGATTTACGGTAAAGCGCCACAATTATGACCAAAGGTACAGCCCCTAACAGATGATGACGTCGTTGAGCCGAAGCCGGCGTCATCGCCTAATAGCTAAGTTTCGAAAGGTGACAAAATTTCGGCATCATCACTAGCACATTCAACACCCCACTAGTATCATTTGCCTTGTTATCAAGCTCTCCTGGGTCTTGGATCCATTTATACTTCATCCACCATCACCTCGGCTATATTGCATGTAGCCGGCGACCCTCTTAAACACCCTTGGAAGATTTGGTCTACTGCATCATCATCAATTCATTATTTCAATCCGACGATACGAAAACATGGCTCCCCCAGAAGACAACCTAGGATTCAAATATGCGGTCATCACCGGTGGCGGTGGTGGCATCGGCAAGGCGATGGCTCAACACTTCATTTCCAAGGGCAAAAAGGTCATCATCGCTGGACGCACAGAATCGAAACTACAAGAAACAGCAAAAGAGATCGGGGCTGTCGACTATTACGTGCTGGACACGGGCAAGGCTGAACAGATCCCCGAGTTTGTCAGACGTGTTACCAAGGAACACCCTGACCTAGACTGCCTCGTCAACAATGCCGGGGTGCAACGTCCTCTGGAGGTTCTCAAGGACGACGATTTCCTCTCGAAGGCTGACCAAGAAATCGACATCAATATTCGAGGCCCGATGCATCTGGCTCTAGGCCTGTTACCACACTTTCAGACCAAGGAATCCGCACTCATCATCAACGTGTCGAGTGTACTTGGCTTCGTTCCATTCTCCATCATCAACCCCGTCTACAACGGTACCAAAGCTTGGCTGCACTTTTGGAGCATGAATCTTCGCACACAGCTCAAGAACGGCGGTTCCAAAGTCAGAGTTGTAGAAATTGCGCCACCGACGGTAGCAACTGACCTGCACCGAGAGCGATCGGATCCAGACGACAACAAGAAGGAGAATAACCCGGATGCTCTCACCGTGGACGAATTTATGGAGGAAGTTGGTAGTAAATTGGAGGACGGTGTCGAGACCATCGGGCCGGGGATGGCTGGAGAGGTCATTGGCAGATGGTATGGTGCGTTTGGTGAGCAATACGCAAAGGCGGCTGAGAGCAAATAGTTGGATCATTCCTAGAAAGTGAGCAGATATCACATACGTTACCTTATTACTTCTCAACCCGAAATGGCCTCCTCTATTACTGAGGATATGAACGACTCACTGAAACTTTGCACGGAGGACCTTATGACGGACAATACGAAATGGTGCCCAGCAAAAGTATCAGGATATTCCGTCCAGTCAGTCTCAGGTTTCGTAAGAGCACATCTGATTCGTGAGCTGGCTCAATTACCACGTAGTGCGAGGTAAGATCATTGCGCCAACCACGTATTCCCGCACGCTTCTAAAACCCTCACATCTCATAATGGATCACCAGTGCGCTCCTTGCGCAAGTTTCACAACCGAGGCCTTGGCTGAGCCTGCCCAGGTTGACTTCCAAGATCACGGGTCTCCTGAAAAGGCATTCTACCGACACCATGAATCGCACGACGTGTTAACACAGGTCACAAACGACAGCTGCAATTTATGTCAACTCATTCTTGAGTGCTTTATACATAACCCCTGCGATGAAGCATAGCAGCCGTGGTACGTCGGTCATCATAGAGATTGACTTGCCATATCACAGAACCATTGTTGAAACGTGTACCAACATTGCATGAATGCCTGAGGGGAGTCTCTCTTTTGTATACAGCACAATGGTACGATTTTCGCTCCGTCACTATACTTGCAGGTAAGGCAATAAGCAAACCTCAGAAAGATTACAACCAAGTTGATAGATATGGGCGCCAAAGTCGACTCGATTGCACTTGTGGTAATGCTGCTGCCAGCCCAGTTATTAGGGAGCATATACAACGCTAAAGGCCACCGTCTCGGCCACGTCATAGTCCGCATCCATCTCAGCATTGCCAAAGATGTGCAGAGCTTTCACAACAATCTTGTATCTGCCTGGCCCGGCCAAGGTCCCGTTAGCCAGTCTGCCATCCCATGTGGTGCTCAAAGTACCCCTAGGTTGATATTTGAGAGGGCTTTGAAAAGTTTCTCCAACCGTGGCCCAATCCTTCCCGTCGACGTTGTCCGCCACGACATACATACGTACAAGGGCCGATCCCATGGCCAGTTTCATGGATAATTTCGAGTATTCGCAAATTCCTGCCGATGAATTACTAGGTGTTTCCAAGGGCGGCAGCGTTCAAGTTTTGTTCTCAGCGGCAGGACTTCCTGTCCCGTCTGTGGCACTCGTCAAAAAAGTTGACGCAGAGTCAAGCACTTTGAGGGATCGCATGCTTCCAGATACACCCATGTAAGGAACCAAGAGGTTCTCCACCAGCGCTGCTGACTGTGACATATCCTGAGTATACCGGTAGCCGCCTTCCGTCGAGGCCAGCTGGCGATGCCAAGTGAACAGTGATCGCCATTTCCTGTCCAGCTGGGATTGTGACGGAAGAGCTGGGGCTAAAACAAGTTTCGGCGTAGGAAGGGACCAGATCGTTGGGGAAAGCATCAGGGACAATGTCGGATGGTGTAGCGAAGGTGTAAGCAGTATTCGCCCCTGTGTGCCCGAGTTCGTACCGACTAGGTCGTGCTGAAGTATTGCGGATAGTGAAATTCCGCATTGGGGTAAAGTTATCCGTATCCTTGAAATACAGACTCGAAACGCTCAGAACAGTCTGACCACGGGCAGCATCGTAGGCCTGAATCATTCCCGATCCCTGCTGAGGAACTGGCGCAAGGAATGGTGACTCGTTGCGCCCATCGTGGAACTTCACCGGCTTCGAGGTGGAGGATATGATAGTTTCCAACTCCTCTGGGTCTTTCGTCCCGCGAGCCTCCATGAGAAGGGCGTAAATCCCGGCCGCAAGCGGACATGCCATGGATGTCCCCGTCAGCACAGCATAATAACCTTTGGATCTCGGGAACGTAGACAGGACCATTCCTCCTGGGGCTGCAAACTGCTGCTTGATATCTAGCTCGTATGTCGGCCCCCAGCTGCTGTCAACACTCAGGAAACCCGGGGTGACGGTGTTCCTCTCGTTCACAACGATGGAATGCAAGCCGTTCGGCTTCACCATGTGAACGAGAATATTAGTACCTCCTTCCAGTTTCGAGATCCATTCAGCGCCTTGGCTGGCAGTCACCGTTGCCTTTCCTTCAAGACCAGGAACCACGGCGGTGATTGGGATGGTACCGATGATGTCGCTGTAGAAGATGATGTACTTGGCGCCCTTCGCCGCCGCGTTCGTCGACTTCTGGGTGAATGTGCAGGTTCCCCGGCGAATGAGAACGATGCGCCCAGACAGATCGGGAGTGGTTTCCGGGAAAACTCGCATCCATTTGCCGGGTCGCTCGTGTCGAAGTTGACAGCCCACAGCGGCAGTATTGAAGTTAAGCGTGACGAGATCACTGATCTCGACACCAACTGGACGAAAGAGTACGCGTAGAAACTGTAGAGTATTTTAGTAGGGTTCATATTTATGATCTCTTCAGGGCTGGGAAGTCGTAATGTTGGAGGAGCGGAATGGGATAAATAGTCTGTAGTTGTTGCCAGCTTTTGTCATTTGATACGAGGGCAGAAGTACAATGAAAGCTCTTGGTTACAACAACCACAAACCTTGGTCGGGGAGGGAGAGTTCATGGGCGATTGTACCTCTCGCAGACTGCGTATCCTGAATGATAGAGTGTCCAGGTGTAGTACCTGTTTGCCGGAAGCGTGCGCACATCCACCGGCTTAGATTCGTTATTTGATTACAAGCTGTCGAAGACCACCATCTCCAGCCCTCCAGCAAAAGGATACTACCTGCCTAAATGTGCTAGTCTGGATTCGTTTAAGACGGACACGATTTATTCTCTGACCCCTGGTGGCTGCACCGCCGGTCTGCAGCTGATAAGTCGCGGGACCGACGTCCGGCCGACATAAATCCCCAAGGCTCTCCCAGCCTATGCTTCTTGTGTGAAACCTTGCCCTAGGCTTTCTTGTCACACCGAAACTGGCTATGGCCTCTACTGACGACTTTGAGGCAATCGCCTCTGACCCAAACTTCGAGATCATCACAACCTTTGCCTACTCGGCAGGTCTCCCCCCCGACGAGGCATCTCTGCCCGGATCACACTGCTACCTGCTTCAGCACGGGATCGATCGTCTCCAAGCCGCGGCGTCTGATCTTTCATGGTACGCCGTGACTGAGGACTTGCGTAGCATCGACCGTGTGCAATCATTGTCCAAACAGGTCAGCGCACACATGCTTTCAAACCACGGCGAAGCGTTCAAGGACCCGGGCAGACGCTTCATCGTGCGCTTGGCCTTCAAGAGGGACGGAATCCTTAGCATCATGTCGGGCCCGAGGCCCACCTCAACGGATTCCCTTTACCCAAGAAACTTGTCGAACATCACGGACTCTCTCAGTACTTCAGAAATCCCTGTGTACCTGGACATGGAGCCGACAAAGCCTTCACTGTTCACCAAGCACAAAACAACGCATCGCCAGTCCTACAGCGCCGCTTGGAAACGTGCGGGTGTGGACGAGGCGACGTCGCCTGCTGAATGTGACGTGCTGTTACAGAATGAGAACGGCCACATCATGGGAGCCGCGTTTAGGACGGTGTACTTTTGGAGGCATGGCAAATTGGTGACTCCGAGTAGTGAGACTGGATGCAAGATGGGCGTCTCGCGGAGATGGGCAGTGGAAAATGCGGGTGTGAAAGAAACATTGATCACAGCTATGGACATCAGCGACGGCGAGGTGGTTTGGTTGAGCTCAGCTGTAGGGGGCCTCATACAGGGAAAGGTTACTCTGAGAAGAGAGACTGGAGAACAATAAGTTTCATGAGCCCACGGATGCTTGCGACTGTATGAATCACGGCATCCTAATCAATAGAATCTCCAGAGCTCTCAGGTGAATCATAGTTCTAACGTGTATTCATGGCCTGTTGCAGAATAAAGTGAATGGGTACAAAATCCCACTGTCGCATAGGTTGAAGTTCGTTATATCTCGCAAAGTAAGAACGGTGACGACCTGAAAGAGCTCGAAATGTCGATTCCATGAAATGGCCAAGCAATCGCAACGTCGGGACGTTCAGCTTTCTACAAATACTACACACTTGTATAGCTACCTTAGTACCCAATTCATGAAGTTATTGTTTCGACAGGATCATGGTGCAAGTCGGTGCTCCATACATGGACGACGATGATGGGTAATTTATGGCGCATCGGCCTGCCCGGTTCTATTGCTTACTTTCGGCAAGTTGACAGCACATCTAAGGTTATGCAATTGTTTAGTACCATGTGTTACCGTATCTATCTGGGAGATTAATCGATGCTGATAATTCTGCTTCAGATACCACCTCGTGCATTGCCAGTTTTCGAACCGGTAATTCTGAGACTGATGAGGATCTTGGATCTACCCGGGATCATACACTCGCGAGGCAATGGTTGACACACTGCCGTATAAATTCACACAAGAACTATCTATCAAGCCAAGAGCACGAGCTATCCACCAGAGTCATTGACGTACATAGGAGAATCTCTGGGTTCTGGAAATGCCCGCTTCGTCCCGATGAAAGGCGCGAAAGATCAATACGTTTCTCTAAGTCACTGCTCTGGTGGTGCAATCTCCCCTGCCCTGACGGCCGAAACCTTGGGGCCTTTTCAAGACTCCATCGCCGTCAAAGAGTTTTCTCAGAATTCCCAAGATACCATCACGATACCTCGCAGTCTGGGATTTCGTTTCTTTTGGATAGACTGTCTTTGCACCTAATAAGACCCTGAATCGGATCGGAAGAATGAGTTCTAAAGAATGAGGTTGGTTTACTGCAACTCAACGGCTCAATACAATTTCTGCTTAGCTGCTATGGTGTCAACAGAAAATAGAAAAGGTTTACTCAAGTCAGACCATTCTTAGACAGCAGGAAGTAAGTGTCAATGCCACAATCCAAATCTTGACCAGTCAACACAGTCCCGTGGCTACTGTCTGGCGGAAAGATCAAAACGAAGAAGACTTTCGAAGCCTTGGTAGAAATACTACGTTGCAAACACGAGTGACATTTCACGAGTATATGCTGTCTCCAAGGAATATCCATATGGTCACACCATGTCCTTTACCCTGTGAGCTTGCCTCTCCCTCTCCCGGACCCCCGGAAACAAATGTCATTCTATGTGACTACTACGAAGTAGTGAACGCATGTACTCAAAGGAAGCTTACGTACGGTTCAAATGATCTACCGGCCTTCTCGGGTATACACAACATCTGCATCCAGTTCTTGGAGAGGACTATCTGGCCGGTCACTGAACTTCAGACTTTCGGCGTGGTTTCCTGTGGATTCCCGAGGGAAACTTCTGCTATCACGAAAGAGACAACCGCCGCGCCCCTTCATGGTCATGGGCCGTGACTGGCGATATGGTACTTCCATTTGAGGAATCGACAATACTAGGGCCGAGCCCTTTGAGTGCCCAACTCTTAGAAATCGTCATCCACCCAAGAAATCCCGATAATACATACGGGAAGATTCTGTTCGCAAAGCTTATCCTCAAAGCGTTTACTACGCCTTTAGTTCGTAGCCAACAGATCGTTAGCACATACCACAACACTGGCCCCATACGACATGCTACTTTCGATGAACCGGCTGAGGCTGAGGACACGGTCAAGATAGCGCATTCAAGTTTCTTAAGACTGAACGATGGTGATCGAGACTACGTAGCCTCGATTGTCACCGGACCGGGAGACAAATTGAACTGAGAGCTAGACACGGATGTTTACCGCGGCGACAAAAAAGCGCTGCTGTTGGTTCATTAGTACCGATGATGTTAGCGAGGAAGAACCCGGATTGTCAAATTCTGAGATACTTGGACTAGTAATCCGCGAAGCGACAGGCGAGGCCAGTGAAACACATACGGGAGAGTAGGATTCGCCCGGATACAGACGCCCTAGTTGTCTTGGCTCGAGACTTGGAAATGGCGGGTCTTAACAATGGCCTGGTGTGGGTAGTGTAGACGTTGAGTTTAAGGCTTTTAGCCGTGGAACTCTACCGACTTTGGGTTCATCGCATTCTAAGTTGAGCGCGTGTCAGTGAGGTGACATCCAGACTGAAGTACATGTGTCCAGTCAAGACAGGGCGCATGAGTCGTGCAAACCCGAGCAAACGAATCTCATCTCAACCCCACCATCGCGAACCTTGTCAAACGCCCGCCTAGATTTCCTATTTCATTCAAACTTCCCATCCCACCCTAGCCGCGACCCTGATACGACTCCTCCTCAACTGCGGGGGAAACATTGGCATTGACCGGCCTTTAAACCAGTTTAAGCCCATGGACCATCTGGTAGACTGATGCGGCCCGGGTGGAGCCAGGCACATCTGCACAACCGCTGCACGATGTCGCATTTTGTTTATAAGCGCCCGAGTCCGAGTGGCCGTGTCCGTCAATGGGACGTTTACCCCGATACGTTTACTCAGCCCAGCCGTTTTCCCCGCGTTGTTTCCCCAACTCGTCCATCATGTGGCTTTTCCTTACCCCTGGGGAACTGGTGGAGATCTTGGAACTACCGGAACGATATTTCAATGGTGCGCGTAGAATCGTGATGACCTCACCTGGGCCAAGGGTGGCATTGAGTCAAGTCCGGGGAAGACGGGGCCGTGCGGAGAGACGGTTGCATTCTCGCGCACGGAAAATGGCCTGCAATTGACTTATAAACATGAGTATCCCACGGCAGACTGCGGTGTTGTTGTAGGGAGAGTTGTGGTAGTTGCGGACCTCTGAGAATCTCAACCCGACCTTATCGGATCATCAACCATGACCACCTTCGCGTTCACGCTCCTGACGGCGCTCGCCGCTCGCGCCTCGGCCAAGACCCATAAGACGCCGACACCTCAGATGGGATGGAACAGTTACAACTACTACAACTGCTACCCCAATGAGACGCTGATCAAAGAGAACGCACACGCCTTGATCAACACGGGTCTAGCCGACGCCGGATACACCACCGTGACTACCGACTGCGGCTGGCCGGCCAAGGAGCGCTCCGCTGACGGCGAGCTCGTGTGGAACCCGGAGTTGTTCCCGTCCGGAGGCGGCAAGGAGCTCGGTGATTACATCCACAATCTCGGATTGAAGTTCGGCGTATACTCCGGCGGCGGATACTACCAATGCGGTTCCACAGATCAGCCCGCTTCTCTCGGTGAGTAGTAATTACCCGGAACTCCAATGTTCAGTGTACCAGATGGTCCTAACAAGATTTTCAGATCATGAGCTCACCGATGCCAAGTCATTCGCCGACTGGGGCGCAGATTCCCTGAAGTACGTTCACCAAAGAGTAGAGCCCTTAGAATGGTCAGGTGCTAATACGAGGTGCACATCAGATACGATAACTGCTACGCGGTCGAGCCCACGGTTATGGTCGACTACGTTTCCGAAGAAGCCGTTTCACCGGATCGCTTCGTAGCGATGGCAGATGCGTTGAACACAACGGATCGAGACATCCTCTACCAAGTCTGCCAATGGGGAACTGGAACGGACCTGGGTATCTGGTGCGTCGTCCACGGTAGCGAAATTCTCTCAAGCTTTCACAAGGAATTAACTTGATCACTAGGGCGCCCAAAATTGGTAACAGCTGGAGAATCAGCAACGACATCTACAACGGCTGG